ACAATTGCACAGGAGACCCAGTCAGTGTTGGAAGAGTACAGGAAGAAAGCACAGAGCAGGGTTTCCACATCTGTATGGAGAAAACTTTACCTGAGAAGCTAGTAACAGATTTTAGGTGCCTCAGAGGGCACAGGGAAGTTCACGTGTTAAGCACTTGCTCTTGGGCAAAAAGCTGCATGGCCTCTATGTTGGTCTCTGTGTAAACTCTCTAGCAAGCTGGGATCAGCTCAGTACATGGATGATGGCACTGTGTGGGCTGCATCTTCTCTGAAAGCAGGTTGAGAGGACTGAGTGGACAGCAGCACTGGGCTGCTTTGGCAGAGGATGCTGTGAGCTGAGCCTGAGTTCTGCTAACCAATTCCTTCAGCACAAAGTTCCTAGCCTACTTCAGTTCCTAGTGAATTCTCAGCTTTATTACCACCTCCTTTGTGGAAAGGGTCTCCTCATGCACCATGTAAGACAAATAAAAGGGGTAACAAATTTCACAGTTTGCACCTTGATTTTTACAGATAGCAAGAGCAGTGACTGAGTACTGCAGTTACTTTCTCCCAGCAGCCAACAGACCTAAAAGGCTGTCTGTTTTCTCTCCTGACTACAATCATTGTAAGCCCAGAGGTGCTGGAGGCACACCGCAGCACAGACACCTATGGTGAGGAGCTGGCTGTTCAAACACCTTCCTAACCTGTTGGGGAGAGGGAAGCAGGGAGGGAAACTGAACTTCTGCTCTAACTCAGATGCCAGCTTTGCTGCTTTTTTTTTTTTTTTTTTTTTTTTTTCTAGCTCCTGGATTTACTGAGATACAGCTATCCTAAAAATTCAGCAGCTGCCTTCATGCCAAGTATTTATAACTTCAACTTTGTACATGAGATGTGAAAAAATGAATTCTCAGGATGACCGATATGTGTCCATGAGATAGCATCTTGGTGCAGACAGGATGAGAGGTAATGGCTTTAAGTTGTGCCAGGGGAGCTTCAGGTAGGATATTAGGAGAAATTTGTTCTCAGAAAGAGTGGTGATGCATTGGCACAGGCTGCCCAGGGGGTGGTGCAGTCACTGTCCATGATGGGTGTTCAAGAAACGTGTAGATGTGGCACTGAGGGATGTGATCAGTGATATGGCGGTGATGGGCTGGCAGCTGGACTAGATGGTGTTAGTGGTCTTTTTCTACTATAATGATTCTATGATCAATCTGAATGCATTTGTTCTGCTTTATCTCGTCATTCATGTTTTTATACACATCACATGCTTCTTGTCATTTTAAAGTCATCTGTGAAGTCTGATCAGAGCAATCCTCTTGTTTTTAAGGGCAGAGGAAGCCAAAAGAAATCTGTCTGTGCATCTGACTCATCTTTGGAGAAAAAGGGAGAGATTGGAAGAAGTAATAGCAAGAGGAACAAAAACAATGCTTAAGTTGTAAAGAAACAGGTATGTCAACAGGCAGTTTTGGGAGATCTTAGTATTCTCTCCGTTGTCTTTTCATGCAAGATCTTTTTTCCTTAAAATACATGCCCTATCAACTAAGGCACTTACTGAAAAAAAATCAAGAATGCAAAATGTAAGATTGCAAATCATGCAAGAATGACCAAGGCAAACAGAACTCAACAGTTCTCTCAGAAAACACCAGAGTGCACTACCGCTTAGTTGGGATAATCTGAAGACAGACAAAGAAACCTTTTTGAGGAGTGTGTCTACTTCAGCACAAAAGATCTATAGATTGCAAGCAGTGATTTTCTTAAGTTCAGACCTAAGGAAATCATTGATTTTTTTGGCAAAAAGGTTCCTTAATACCTGAATCCTTTGTTAATTGTTTCCAGTGTCAAAATCAGGCAAGATAAAAAATACATACCAAAAGGTGGAAGCACCACACATGAAGTTTTTTAAGATAGTAACAGCATCATACAATTTTAGAAAGCAGTAATTCATAAAATTCTGTTGTTTGACTCAGTGTAGTCAGTACAGTGGATCCAGGAGTATTATTATTATTATTATTATTTTTCTTAAGGAGACATGGATGCTAACAGGTATACAGAATTTTTAATGTGTTTTTCCCCCCCCCTGTATTTTCACTGTAAATTACAGAATCACTCAGAGCAGAAGGCCCCTGAAGAGTCCAAACCTGTGCTCAAAGCAGGGTCATAGTGAATTCAGACTATGCTGCAGCTCCCACGGTTGTCCTCACAGTGAACACCTTTCCCTGTGCCAAGGCAGAACCTTGCCTCTAAGCATTTATGACCATCACCTCTTCTATCACACAGGTCAGGGAAGAGCATAGCTGTATATTCTCTTCAGCCTCCTCACAGTTGCTGGGGGGCTGCTCTTAGGTCTCCTGAAAGCCTTCCCTTCTCCAAGCTAACCCATCCCCCACTCCCTCAGCCCTTCCTCACAGGAGCATGCCTCAACCCCAAGCATCTTGTTGGCTCTTCCTTAGACTCGCTCTAGTTTATTATCATCACTCTTGAATCTTAATTTCATGTGCTAAATGCACATCCTGTTGCACAAAAGTTCTCCAAAGGTGTCTTGCTTTGCTCTTCTGGCAGCTTACCTTGTTGACGTAGCAAGTACTTGTTTATGCTTCTGTCTGAGCCTAAATGTGAGGACTTGAGGCAGGTGCACTACACTGCCCCACGTTACAGCAGAAGTTGCCCTTAACGTTAGGGGACTTCCTGGCTGCAGGAATCCAGACACATATTTCAGTGTGCAGCTCCTCTGTCAAGAAAATAAAGACAAACAGCAAACTTCCTTTGGTACTCACTTCAGGGAGTAACAGGTTAACCTAAAATGAATAAAACAGCGAGTTTCATTCATTCACAAAGTACTCGAAAAGTGTGCTGAGCTCACCACAAACACATCTCAATTCATCCTTTCATTAATGAATAGCACTTTCATACTGAAACATTGTGATTAAATTTCTAGTGCTGAACATGGGTAAGTGGCAATGTGGCCAACACAATCACAGCACTGTTAGGCTAAGGTGGGGTATTTCAGTTAACATCCCATTTGGTGGCAACATCATTATAACTAGCTGGCTTGCTGAGGGAGCATAGCATTGCCCAATCAAACACAATCCAAGTGCTCCCTCACCTTGGTGCCAAAACCTTTACCTTTCTGTTTAGTACAGTGCTTAATCGTGCATTTTGGATCTTGCAGAAAACATCTGATGAATGAGGAGCCTTTGGTACGAGAACTCATTTCCACTTCAATGATGAAACTTCACACAGCCACTGTGGGCAACACAACAGCAAGCACACACAGCTCTGCTCTGCTGAAATGAGGTATGATTTCCCAGGGAAAAAAAATGCACTACAGACATGATGTTTGGCTTCTACTAACTAGAATCAGTAACGGCCATGTGTTTTGTATCAGGAGTTAGGTAAGTCTTTGCTCTGCTGCTTTTGGTGTTCAGTGCGAGAGCCTAACAAGCTTAACAAATTACAAAATGAAGACTAATCTGGTTAGATTCAGGGGTGACAAAAATATACGCTTGCTTGAGGTCAAGTTTGTCAGAACTCAAGCTGTCCTTTTGCCTTTTATGTAAAATAGTAAGAACAAAGCAAAACATTCAGTGATTGGGCAGGCAAGCCCTGGAATCAAGGATTATGAGGCAAGAATTGCAAATCCGTGAGTAAAGATGGATTAAGTAATTAACTGTGCAGCACAGAAACTGTTTAATTGCAAATATAGACTGCTACCAGTGTCTGGGGTAGCAAGTTTTTTTTCATTTATTTACATCCTTGCTGAGAAGCTCACATAGAAGATAAGATAAAAGACAGCATAAGTGCTTTGTAAATTTTGATAAAAGGCTGTTAGTTCTTGCTTTATGTTTTGATGGAGTCTGTGCAGGGAATGTTTACTTACATAAGCACAAAGACACGAGTTACCTTTCAGAATACTGATTTGAACCTAAGCATTACGTCACTACTCGTAGATCCTGACAACACAAAACTTTACAGCTGCATCAGCAGTGCACTTCTAATTTACTCTGTTCAGAAATGCACTCTTATAATCTTCCTTCATTTCTTTAAAGTCTTTCCTGTTGGCTGAAACTTATTACATTATGAATGTAACAATGTTGAAAATACTAATGAAAACATGTTAAGAGTGGAAAAGCAATCCACTTTTTCTGGTGAAAATCTTTTAAGAAAGAGGTACCAAGTATCATAACCTTACACAAGTACCATCATTTATTCAAGATTATAAGAAAGCACGTGAGGCACGTTTCCAAAATCCTTAATTTTATTGTTTGCCTAATCTGTAGCATCATGTACAGCCCTCATCTCTAGCACAGCAAAGCAGCTCAGCACACACAAAGCCCTGTTCAAGACCAGCAGAAGTGGAACCTCAGTTACATAATGCAGTACATGCAGGAGTCGGTTTATCATCATATCCAAGTACAGTTGCTCTGATTCTTGCTTCTTTCAGGGCTGTTGAAAAGTTTCATTTTAGGAGTGCAAAGAGAAAATAGCTACGACTTTTATAGAGATGATCAAGTTTAAACCCAAATTCTTAAGTCTGAGTTATTAAACTACAGCAGGGACCCTTCTTCAGTTGTGGAAAAAACTGCAAAACAAAGAAAAAACATTAGTCACTTGGTTGTATGAAGCAAACCAAGAACATGAGCGGACTAAGCCCTGGCTCATGCTAAGTATACTCCCATTTCTGTCAAAAGTTTTTTCAGCTTTAGTTTCCTTCTCCTGGCAGTCTCTCTGAGGTGAAATGTAAGTAGGTATAAAGCCAATTACTTCTGGAGGGCTTTGCCACTATGTAGCTTGGCTGAAAACTTGAGAACTTATCAGAGGAGTCTGCATGGGGATAACAGTGAGGCTACAGAAACAGACGCAGTTTTTTGTTTTATTAATTTCTGCAAGTCGATTATGAATTGCTTTTAAAATTTAAACGGTTAACTACTAAGCAGCAGTTCTGATAAACAAACTTTATTCTTCCAAATTCTGAGTATAATTATCTGCATTGCACTTTTCCTATCCATCTGTTGTATTTGTTATTTATCACATTCCTGGCTTAAATCCAAAAACAGTGCAAGAGGGAAGAAAAGGCAGAAGGGAGAAATGAGCCCAATTCAAACAGCTAGAATTGAAATACTGTAGGATTCAGACATAAATTCTAAGATGCAGCAACATATAAGTTGCTCAAAATGACACTAATTTGTTATCAACAGATGGAACAATTACCTCAGTACGTACTAAAGACTCAGACAGTCAGTCAGGGAGTCCTGAGCTACCGGTACTCAGGGGAGTTTAGGTTCTGTGAATCCTCAGAAGCCACAGTATGAATTTCCAACTTTAGATCTTGGAACACCCCTATTCATGCCCCCTGAAAGATCCCCAACATTAAAATAAAGAGAATTACGGCAGCGTTACTCTTAGATACATTTTACTGTGCTGCAAGATGGAGCTTTACCTGAAGTAAATCCTTAACCTCTAAAGAAGCCAATAATGTAGGAGCAGAACTCATGCAGGGATTCCCAGCAATGTTCCCGTGCCAGTTTCATTGCTTCGGTTTCATTTTCAGAACCTTGACCAGGCTGGGTTGGTTTTATACGAGGTAACATTGCAGGTTTCCCCATTTTCTTAACAGAGCTCTTCCCAGCTCCTCTCACAGAAGCCGAAGTTTTCTGGGATGATTTGTCCCGATTTGCCACATCTTCTGGCCCCATGCCAGCAGCTACTTGCTTCATGAGAGCATCCACAGGAGCCTTTTGGCACATGCTGGCCTTCAATATTTGTGTAGATTCGCAGGCATGAGGGAGCTTTCTGAGTTCCATGGCGATTTGATTCCAATACATTTTTGGATTGTTTCGGAAAGGATTACAAAGCAATGGCACACCAGTGTATTCACACCAGTAGGACTTGCCTTGGCCTTTGCATTCAATTCTTGCTTTCATCTCTTCATCCCCACTTATGCTCATTGTGCAGACATCTTTGTTTTTAGTCCGAAAATTGATTTCTTCACCATTGCTTCTTTTCTTTGGTTTCAGCTTTTGTCCCAGTCCTCCCATGCCACAGATCACTACCAGGAAAAGAAGAGCTACTCTCTTCATGGCAAGCAGAATTGACCGCGATCCTTCAGCAAAATGATCTGAAAAAGTGGTAGTAGTAAGTACCTGGCTGCTCTCAATTTAAAGGCTTGGTGCACAAAGAAGCCTCTTTTCAGCTACATGTGGGATGGATGTAATTTTTTTAGTATTTATTTAAATAATAAATCACCCTTCAGTAGGCATGCACCCATAATTTATAGCCTGAGGAAGTGTCGAATAAGCTGTGAACTCTCATGAACGTAACAAGACAAATCTTGTAAATGCAGTTAAATACAGAACGATAGTTGTATAACTGAGAAGCACATTCCTATCCAGAATGAACATGTCATATCTGATTTTGAACAGGACTTTTCCATTCTCCAGCTGCTTTACAGCTATCTTCAAGACAGAACTTGTAATGCAATTTTGAAGTAAAAAAGATCGAAGTGCCAAAACAATCTATGCAGCTACCTCTGGATGATTATGTACATGTGAATCTAATGAGACTCAAGAAGGCCAAGTGTAAGGTGTTGCACTTGGGTTGGGGCCATCCCAGATATGGCTACAGACTGGCAGAAGAACTCATTGACAGCAGCCCTGCTCAGAAGGACTTGGGGGGGTCTTGATGGCCAAAAGTTGGACCTGAGCCAACAAAGTGCACTTGCAGCCCAGAAGGGCAAAGTATCTTGGGCTGCATCAACAGAAGTGTAACCAGCAGGAAGAGGGAGGGGATTGTCTCTCTCTGTTCTGCCCTTATGAGACCCTGAGTGCAGTATTGTGTCTAGGCCTGGGGCCTCTGGCACAAGAAGGACACAGTGCTGTTGGAGCAGGTCCAGAGGATGCTCAGAGGGCTGGAGAACATCTCCTCTGAATAATGGCTGAGATACGTGGGCTTGTGCAGCCTGGGGAAGAGAAAGCTCCAGTGAGACCTCATTGTGGCCTTCTAGTACTTGAAGAGGGCTTATAAATTGGAAGGAGACTGACTTTTTAAATGTGCAGACAGTGACAATTTTTTTACTTAGAGGGTAGTGAGGCACAAAAGTTGTGAATGCTCCATCCCTGGAGGTGTTCAAGACCAGGTTGGACGGGGCCTTGTGCAGCCTGAGCTGGGGGGTGGGATGGAATTAAATGATCTTTGAGGTCCATTCCAACCCCAACCATTCTGTGATTCTATGAGTAAGATAAGGATAAGTATTATTGCAGGATAAGTATCCCCCACAGCTCATTAGCTTGAGTCCTACATCTCTGCATAAATCACATCATTTGTGGAAGTTAGAAGCTCCCTCACATGGGGTCGATGTTCTTTCAGTCTTTTCTGCTCCCGTCCTTGGTCTTCTTTCTTACATGAGATGAAGTCTCCACAAAAAGTAAAATGCACATCAAAAATTTGTTACTGAGGTAAAAATCTTAAAAAACATCATTTTTTAACTAATTGCAAATATTCTGAAATATTTACGTGACAAAACGAGCGAGAATCAAACATCAGCTAGTTAAGCAAATTATTTTTTATTTAAATGAACTGGGAACATCTCAAATTAAAAATAGAAGCTTTTAAAAATCTACAGTTCTGAACATTACATATACACATTATGCTACATACTGTCAATTAGAAATGCTTCAGTTTATGACCTAAAAATAAAAAAAATAAGGTTATTGCAGATTAAAGATTGGTTGACTTGTCAGCATTTTTTTAATAGTTACGTGAATGATTTTCAGGATTATACATACTTCAAGCCAGTAAATACTGACCTATTAAGAGACACTACTGGAGATCAGTATGCCCAATTATTTCACACACTGTAAGTTCTACACTAGTAAGATAAACACTTGTGGCCCTTTTGATGAATTCTGCTGTTAACTAATTCAGCAACACACTCGTATGCCTAAATTCAAGGCAGTAAGTCTAACAGTAGAAACATTAACTCCAGTTGCTAAATGCCTGAACTTCAACGTTGGAAATCATATTTGGAAATTGTGAGACAAATTACTATCACTGGCCTCTGCAAGAGGTACAGTTGAACAGTGATGCTATTAAGGATGTTAAAGAAGTGGGTACAAACGAGGAAAAGGAAGACAGGATGTAAAGCATTCTAAAAATCACCAACATTATGACATCTTTCATGCTCTTTTTGAATACTACTGAACTCCAGAAAGCTTAGCTTTTTGCTGCATGAAGCATTACGCACACTCCCAGCCCTCCCACCCAAATACAGTTTCAAACCAAACATCTCCCTTTTAGGTCTATACTGCAAAAATCACTGAACATTAAATAATAATTAAAAAAAAGGGAGAAAACAGAAATGCAACTGACCTTTTCAGAGACACAAAGAGACACTGTGCATCCCATTACACACATAAAATTTAGTCCAAAGTGGTCATTCAAGAGCACCAAATAGCAACACTGATCATGCTGGTAAATTCATTTGTGAAACGTACTATACAATATTAAAATCTTAACTAAACACTTACATGTTTTAAGAAAAACATATATACAAAAGTCTCTGTATACAAAATGTATTTTTATGTAAACGTGTCTGTACCGTATTTAACACATCTCAACAATTTAAGATAAGAATTTGACCAGCTGTCAGAAAACTGCTAAGCAAAGTAAGTTAATCTAATATATTTATATCCTGTGATGCAAGATAGAAAGCTATTATGTAAAAAAAGTTTAAAAAAAAAAAAAAAAAAAAAAAGAAAGATAATAATAATATAATAATTCAAGCCTTGAACAGTGGTGTTTGAGAGGCAGTGTCCTGGTCACAAAATATCCTGTACAGTAGCTTATGGCATAACATTCAATAGTACATTTGTGATTTACAGTACAGGTCTCACAAAACAAGTGGCTCAGTATTTTGAAGACGATTGCAAATGCCAGTGCACTTGGAAGAATATCAATATATTCCCATAGAAGAATCTTGAGCCTCATTTCTATAGCCTGCAAATAACCACAAATACAAAACACAATTCAGGAAAATTTGACAGAATTATACTGTAATTCAACAAGAATGAAGGCACAGATTTTCATACTGACACGAATATGGTTCAGTAGTTTTTGAAAAATTATTTTTAACTTGCAGCATTAATGCTAAAGAAAACAGAACAGTTTTCATAAAAAAATATGAAAAAATATAAAAGCTTTTTGCTTACCCCTTTATGATTCCAGTTTCTGTTACCACTGTTCCACAGAGCTACACAAGAAAACAAACAAACACAAATCAAACCCATAAATTTCTCTTGCCCACAAACAGTAGAACAGAAGTACCATGTCTGGCTGTAAAGTGAGACAGGCTCAGTTGGCACAAACCAATCACAAACTTAACCACTTATTCAAGAGAAAACAGATTTATGGTTTTCAACCAACCTTTCCTGTTACATCTATTTTAGAGAGAAGTGCTTCCATTACCAATTCAACACCACTGACTTCCTCTAAACAGACCAATCCAGCCTCCAATTCTGCTCTCACAAAAATGGTGCCTGAATTTGAGGTTATTTACATCTTTCACAAATATACCTATGTGAGATACTTATACAAATGTAAACATATCTCATATGGATCTCAATCTTGTATTTACATATCCCTTCTATGAAGAAAGATAATCGGATCTTTCCAGCAAACCAATTCAGATGATTTCCAAGAACAAAATCTACTTAGGATTGTTCACATCTGCAAAAGTACAGGTGTACATAGATTTTATTACACTCATCTTTCCCAGAGTGTCTGAAATCATTTGCAGGAACTGAGAAAAAGCAAGGACAGCATAAAGGCAAATGGTTTGCTCAAACAAAAATGAAGAACTAGACTCTCTTGTATGGGAACCCTGGACTGAGAAACACAAAGCACGTATCTAATACAGTCACTTTTCAAATGATCTGAGTTAAAGTACTGGTTCAAACTCAATTCTTACATTGTATAATGGAAGCCAGCTTTGAATAACTCTATTAAAATTTAGTAAAAGAAAGACAGAACTGAACTAGTGGGTTTAAAAGATTAATTTATGTTAATATTCAGCTTATTCAGGGACACTGTCTTAAACTATTCATCAATCACTGAAATATCATGAAATAGTGTGCTCTAAACTCCAAGGTTATTAACAGTCATGTTAAAGATTCAAAGATCAGAAAGGGACTTCTGAAGCCTGAGCAATTATTAGTTTCCTCTTATGTAAAATATGAAAAGTCAAAATGGAGCTCTTAGATGTGCCAGTAAAGACTAGTTTTTATTAGACACTCTGTAGGTTTATTTAGGTAGTCCTTGAAGTACAGTACAGGCTGTGACAATCCTGAACATTAAAATCACTATAACCAGTTATATAAAAATACATCCACACAAGTTAATGTGGAATCAAAATTTGGTCACTAAATAATTACTGCAGAATACAGTTCTAATAAACAATAATATACAACTGATGCAGCCATAAAATCTGGCAAGTCTTCCAAACCATGAGCTTTTTTAACCATTACTAAAAGAACAATGCTATCCGATTTGTCTGCCAACACTCAACCTACACTCAACCTATGGAAAATCAATCACTGTGTTGTAAATTAAGGCACAGCGAGCTACAGATTTTAATCACAGATTAGACCCTTCCTTAAGCAACTCGGGTATCTTGCAAACCCTAGTATTAAAGCTTTGGGATGCCCTATGTTATCTGTACAGGAATGGTGTGTCTCACATCTAGCTAAGATTTTAAAGCACCAGTGTTGCAGAGCCAGCAAAGAACCCAAATCTCCTGCCTTTTAAATATAACTTGAATGTCTTGTTTCTTGAAGTCACGCTAGTTCTACCCATGCAGAAACATCCATTTTATCTGCTCATGTCTTCTGCATATCCTGCAAAAGCTCTTTACCACATCATCTAAAAAACCATAATATAAACAGGCTTATTCTGGTGACAGAGCAAATGAGCAATTAAACATTATGTTTATCTGCAGGGCCTCTACTGCTCCTCATTAGAATTTTGAATGATCAGGAGAAAAAGCTGATTTTATAAAATCTGGCTTTGTGTTCCATGTATTGCACAGGAAGAATATGTGAAATTAATCAGTTTATAAATTTGCACCCCGTTCTGTTGAAGGTAATATATAAAAAGATGTATTTGCTACAGATCTTTGTAGCAGAAGATTAAAAAAAAGACTCAGGAGCAAGAATGCATCCCTCCCTACGACTCTATATTCCTACTGAAGTATTTTAATACACTTACTAATTTATGACCACCCACTATACTAGATAAATACCTCATTATATGGACTGTAAGTTCAAGTGTAGGCAACTCATTTGTTAAATCACTGGAAATCATTACAAAATCTGCTGTTACTTCCAGAGTATTTGAGAAATATAAATCAAACAGCATTTTCTATAGAGAGTAACCGTGCAAAAAAATAAGTGGAGAAGTAAGCGATTCACTTGAAAACATGCAGAAAATTGGAGAGGTGATTAATACAGTAGATTAGGCAAGGACACATGGAAACATGCAGTTTCAGACTTGGTTTACCTTGTAATAACAGGATTGTGTATACCATATAAATGCTCTTTATGATAACCATTATTACCATTTTCCATACTGTAATAAAATAAATACACCAAGAAAAAACATGTTAACTATAAGATGCACTATGTACAGTATGGCTTCCAAGACATGTAAATGGATGATGGTATTATATGCAAAGGTAAACTGTTTCTGTACAATAAAAGATATCTTTTCTTTTGTAACATTCAGGAGTTATGCAATAACTATAATCTTAATATTCTCTAAAAATTAATTGTTAAGATATTTCTGTAGACTTGGATACTCTAATGTAAAGTCTGGTGAAACAAGCTATGTTACTTCTGTTGAAGTAACAAGTTAAATGAAAAATACAAACCCTCCCACCTGAATAAAGTAATTTTACCAAATACCAACAAAAATGTCTTACTTTTCCAAGGGTATAGTTTCAACACTAAAAAACACAAAAAAGGAGTCGTTAACTAGACAACAAGTAAGTAATTTTAGCTTACACGCCTGTTCCTGCTCTACTGACTTCTGAATGTGAAATGAAAAATGGTCAGTGTGAAACTGGAGGAATGCAGTGCACAGGCTAACTGAACAATGAGCAAAACAAAGAGCAGAAAAGAAAACAGTAAAAACAAAACTGATTGGAAAATACGTAAGAACAGTTATCATAAAGTAAAGTGCCAAGTCCCTGAGACAGAGGAACTGCAAGTGAAAAAGGAAAGACTAGTTAGGAATAACTAAGATAGTAAGGAAGTAAATAGTTAATTCAAGATTACAAAGGAGGTATAATTCATTTTAAAAGGTAACTCAGCAAAGCTAATCATCTCTACACTAGCAGATATTTATATAAAGACTGTACATAAAGCTATGAAGACCTCATTCTGAAGAAGGTTTCTCATAGTCGGAGCTGGCAATATCTACAGTCATGACAAGTTGAGTTCATCAAAGTCCACCTGCATGAAGCACTTTGCAGGCACCAACCCAAACCTGAGGTGTTTCACAAGCACACGCAGTTCTATCTGACAGCAGATTAAGGATTACAGCACCTTCATGTGAAACACCAGAAAAAATATTTAAGCCCATTTGCCATTTAGCTTGCTTAGAAGCATATACTTACTCATCATACACATCCTCTGTATCCATTCTACGATAGTATTTGGAGAGTTTCACAGCAAAAATTATGGCAGGAATTAAAAATATTGAAGAGCCTCCCAAACCAAACCAGAAGGTATTCTGAAACAAAACAAAATCCAAGATAAAAAGATTGCAGAGAACAGCTACTCAGAGAACACGGCAGAAATTACTGCCATGGGTCTGTGCGCTCTCTGAGTCTCCTTATACTAGTGTGGAACAGGCAGCATGTTAAGCACTTCCACAGGAAATGTGAACTGAAGCACAAACAGCACCTATCTTACAAACGTGGCCAAAAAGAACACTGTCCAAAGATGCTCAAATTCATACAGGCATAGTGTCCTAAGCAGTAATTTCAACGCAGTCAGCACTGAGCTATAAAGTGATTTTGTCTCTCTGCATTAATTTGCAGCCACATTTTTTCTCGCTACTTTAAAGTTATTATCTGTGATTCTTTAAAAATCGGAGCTTCCAACACCATCTCAAGGTGCTTTTTAACTTGCTAGCTGAAGCATGCTTACAGAATTTTATATTTTATGTTTTATTTTATTTTATATTTTCACACAGGCGAGGTGAGTTGCTCTCTGATGTTAGAATCATGATTTTTCAAATTTGACTTGTAATAGCTAGAGGCATTTTGACTTGTATGTGACTCAGCTAAGTCCTATCACCATGAAAATTGTAATCCATCTACCACTGGATGGCTAGTTGCTACTCTGAGAACAGAAGCTCTGTAACTTACGAGGTGATCCATCTGGCAGAAGACTTCATAATAAAGAATTATCAGGGTTAGAGTAGCTTTGACTGCATACATTTATACTGTTACTATGATTATTACTTGGCCGTAATTGTGATACAACAAAATAATAGCTAGGAAATGTTTAGGTGGTTTCCATACATGTTGTTGCTAATTCTGTTTTTACTATATGCTTCTCTTTTGCAAGATGAAAAAGCCAACGCTGGCCTTGCGTACTGCTAGAAGTCATGCTCCAAGTTTGCATTGTACGGGAAGGATTCAATATTGGTCAGTTGCAAGTGATGTGATAAAAAAAAATCCTTTTATTTATTTACAGTTCAAATTTGAATAAATTTAGTAAAATAGTTACTTTTACAGGATTCTTTCTAATTAAAGCCTAATTTTAATGAAAACATAAATCAAGTCCAGTGTTGGTTGGTTGATCCAAATTGGAACATTCTCTCCTTGAATAACCTTGGATGTGATCTTTTATCATTATACTTAAAATGGTCTAGATGAAATAATCAAATGTAGATTTATGTTCAAAGAATTTTCCACTCGGTGCCCTGATTTTGAGTAACAAAAAAGATTTCTTACCACAGAATCAGTTACATAGCTGCATAAAAATATATCCACTGCTGTATCTATCACATTGGCAATTGGCTTGCATGCTGCTACCTCCATGGCAATCTGAAAGACAGACATTAAAGAAAACAGACTGAAGTACATAACAGATTAAAAGAACCTCACATCTTGCTTACAGCTACAGTTACTGTTTACTATATTGTTGTCTCTCACTCTCTCTAAATTTAGAATAAATTCCAGTGGGGTATGCTATCTACTGAATTTATAAATCTTTAAAACATCAGCTCAATTTCTCAAAGACTGAAGCTGAAGAAAGAAAAATAAAGATGCTAATGATATGATACTAATTTGAACTAAGCAGGGTCAAGCTCAGTACAACATCAGCACCAATAGTAGACTGCAGGCTAGCCCTGGAAGAAAGATAATATACTAAATTTGCATTTTATTCCAGTCAGTACTACTCATGATTTCTAGTCTACTTCAAAGAAAACTATTTATGGAAGACAGGTTTCCTCCTTCATACCTAGCACAAATATCTTGAAATTACTGAAATTACAAAACATGCTATCAACATAACTTTTCTGTTATTACTATTGAGCTCCATCATGCTTTTAAAAGCAGGGTCTCTCAAAAAGCAAATGCACCTTACCGACTCCTTCACCCACTCAATGTATTGCTCAAAGTAGCCAACGATGGTGTCCATGTACTTCTTTGTTTCCTAAAACCAGACAGAAGTAAGTGAGCCTTGGAAACAGTTCCATGACACTGTGAACGAATGTACTTAAATTAGATGAAGCTTACCTGGACAATAACTAGAGAAGCATTGTTATTTATGAGAAGCTGGGCAGCATTAACAGCACTAATGACATTTTTCACCTTTACCTGGATTGAAAGAAAAGGCTTTTAATATAAATGAAACCCTTTTAAGCAGTTACAATGACTCTGCAGCCACTGCCATTAAGCTATTATCTTGATAAACCAGTAGCACTGTCCTGATAAAACTTGACAAAACATACAATTTCAGATAGAGTCTGAGCAACCTTCAGACACTAAGCCTCAGCCTAAGGATTCACAACCATCTGACAAAAACCTCACACTACTAAAAGGAGAAGAGTATCAGTGGTTATGAACAGCAAGTTATGCAACTGAATTTATATACAACACCAGCTTTCTCTTCTATTCTGTTTGGCTTGGTTTTTTTCCTTTCCTTAGATCCAGAGATACTTTAATCACCTGGGACAGTCAATCCTTGGGTCCTACAAAACTGACCGAAATCACAAGAAAGCTAAATTTAAGATTTTACCTAACCATAGAATTTGAAGTGTGCTCTGTTTCAGGACACATCAATATACACACATGCACCAACATATACACACAAAGCATACAGGAACAACTCTTGATTACCAGCTAAAGTACTACTGCTATTCAACATTCAGAAGGTTGGACATATTCATACACTTTGTCAATGCATGTGTAATCCCACCAAGTCTCCCAAAAAACATACACACATACAGCCTTTACCTGTATTTCTTACATAAACTTAAGGCTCAAACACCATCTTTTTCTTATCAGCACCTTATTTCCATGCCTCTTACACTCACCATCATATTCTGAAATAAATCTGCTTGGTCTGCTGTTGTGAACAGGTCAAAAATCTTAACGGGAAGAACCATGGTAGGTGAGGACCATCAAGCTGTTCTAACTAGGATCTTCAGTGCTAATACAGCTGAATTTTTGCTACAGGAGCCAAAGCAGACTGGAGATGACAGAAAGCTTTGCTGCCACAAAAGCAATCATCCTGCTGCTTATCTTCCTCAGGTTGGCAGAGCCTGAAGACAGCTGGTTTCACTGTGGTGCAAGCATTAGCTGCTATTTACAGGGGAAACGTGAGCTGCCCTGGAGAAGCCTTCCTACAAACCCACCTTCCCACACTTTGGCTGATGCTGCAGAAAGAGGAAGGGGATGACTGTAATGCTAAAGTCACAGGACCTAGTGGGAACAGAACACTGGCTAAGAGCTGGGTAAGAATGTGGATTTCAAAGCTCTGTTTTCTCAGATGTATTTTGAGGTTTTGTTTCTTGGTTGTTCTCCCACTCCAAGTTTTGCTGTTGATGACTCTATAAAAAAATCCTACCTTTTTAGTAACATATAATCACAACGTATTGAACTGTACTTAAGTCTATTTTATCACCTGATAATGAAGTTTATAATCTGTATTTTAAAAAGCATTCTATTTTACCCCTCTCTTCTACAAAGAAGGGAAAATCAAGGTAGAAAAAGCTGTGCAGAAGAGATGTGTGAATCTCTGTTACTACCTCAATGCACTAAGTAGCTTTGTAATAACAGAGCAACCAGAAAAAGTAAAAGCTGCACTGAAAATATACTCTATGCACATGTGGTGGATGATTTAAAACACATTAAAATGTTTCTGCTGACAGAGAGAAAAGCTTACCATAAGTTCAGATGATGTCCTCTTCAGCAGCCTAATGCTCTGATTTAAAGTGCTCTATTAGAGAGAAAGGGAAGAAAAAAAACCCAAAGATTTAGTTCATCATTATAGGCAAGCGCCTGCTTGTTTTTTGTATGTATGTTTTGATTCTGGATAGATTATTTTGTTTCTAATATGACATACCACATTATGTATAGTAAATGCAGTCGAATTAGCTTAAAATAAATATATTGTGTTTTTAATTGATTCAGTATTTTACCCAAAGAAGTAAGTAGCTATAAATTATGTATTGGAAGACTTCAAATTAACTCCAAACTATTATTACTACAATAAACTGGGAAAGATTTATTTGGGAAAAGAAAGAACAGTGAAAAATCAGAACTGAGCCTTCAGAGTACTTTGATACTATGCATTCTTAGAAGGGAAAAAGCACTTACCCTAGCTTTAACATATTTCTTGACAGCCAGTTTTGTAAAAGGAAAAAGAGATGAGAATAATTAGGAGTTAATTAGAAAGAACAGCACTGAATCAGAGGCCTAATGACTTTTTTCTTTTTTTTTTTTTTTTACAGGCCTTTGATAGGGGCAGCAATACTACATCTGATGTTAGAATAAACTAAAAGCCTTCACATCATGTAGAGGAAAAAGCCAACAGTTACAAGCTGCATGAATGAGACTCACAGCTGGATGTTATACAGATCAGTGCCTGGCAAAAGCAGTCAGAAAAAGCCCTTTCAAATCTTGTACAGCATCAACAAAAAAGATTTTTCTTTGGCTCTAAGTGCTACTATTATGGGCTCCTGTTCCAATGCTGGTACATCACTGTGAACTTCAGGAAATAAAGTGTAAAAGTCATAACTGCTGTTATAACAGATGACAAATGATAAGGAAAAAGGAAAATGAGTGATTTAGGGTTAGAATTCTGGAAAATTCTCCTGCTTCATCTTTTATTCACATATAATCACAAAATAGAAAAAAAAAAAAAAGAGCTCCCAATATTAGACAATATTGTAAGGTAGAAGTATCAGAAGTAGGTTAAATATTTATTAAATGCACACTTTAACCAGATTACTCTTTGGTGACAATACAAATACAGTCTATGCTTACACACTGCGAACTGCAGCTTTCTAAACTGTATTCAAGATTCAGGGATTCACATTGTTTTTTACAAGTATGTTTAAACATCAATTTCATATTTTACCATAGCTTGCTCCAGTGGAACAACCTGCTGGCTATGAATCATCCGAATGCTGTTTGCGTGTCCTTTTAAGGCATTTTCCAGGGCTCCTTTTGGCTGCAAAAATAAAGAAATTATGCCCTATTATTCAATAGTTTCACCACTTTCAAACAAAGGAAAAAAATACAAACTGCAATGCAAGTTGCACATTATTTGCTGCAGAAGAGCTGATGCTAACACCAGGATACGGCAAACTGAACTCAACATAGTTCAATCACCATAAAATCACCATATTAATGATTCAAAGCTCAGTAATGAAAGCACACATATTAAGCTGCTTCTCTGTATCATCACTGGTTTCATAGAAGAGAATTTCCAGAGTGCACTGTTACTTTAAAGTTTCTTCAAAGAGGGAAGAGGGAGCATTCCCTGCTAACTCTGCTCTGGGCCTGTCCCTGGTGCAGGGGTGCCCTCCACTGGGACAAGTGTTCCTCACCGCTTTTATTTTCTGCAGAACGGACAAGGCTCCTTGCCTTCTGAAGGGTACAGAAGTTTCAACACTTCCAGTCAGTGAACTGGGAATGTGTCTGTGAAGGGTGCTGTTCCTTTTAGTGGCTTCCACTGCTCAGTCAAAAGATGCGCTGGTAGCCTGCTTCTACAGCCTGCACACACACCTACAGCTCATGGCAACATATTGCAAAATTTGATTTCAATTTCATAAACACATTTATTTTCCATGGTGAAATCACATTTCTTTTTCATGGTGAAATCATTTGGCTCCCATTGTTAACTCCATTTTGGAAACGGAAGTATTTTAGACCTAGACACTGCTGAGAAATCATTAAACACTGGGGATGGTGGGCAAGGTAATTGTGCATATGTCTCCTCATATGCACACAGTTGGACACAGTTGTAAGGAGTCAGAAACTGCTGGAACTGCAGGAACAGCTGCCCTGAATGCAAATCCAGACTTGTGTAGAGATGAGACCTCTTTCAGGAAAATGTATTTCAAGATGTTTTTCCCAAGACACTCTAATGTGCAACTTTTTACTGAGAAAACTTCAGCAAACATTTTGTACTGATTTGGCAAATACAAAATGGAAAGAGCCAATGTCTCATTTTGTTGAAAATGTGCCTTTTTTCAAAAATTATCTCAGGAAAAGACGTGCTTGTGAAATACCAGAGGAAACGAATGACTAAGTGAATTTTGCTTGAAAACAGAATAAATCCCAGGGCAGTACTGTCATAGAGAATGGGAATACATCTGCCACAGTACTGCTTCTTCACTGCTGCCATCACTCTGAGAGTGCCATATCCTGGTGAAAAGCAGCAAAACATTTTCTTGGTTAGGCCTATGATTTTTTAAGATATTCTTTATCTTTGGCATACAATTTTCTGCAACATTTTTCTAGGTCCTCCTGCAGCTCTTCCCATCTCTGCCAGTTCCTCTGACAGCAGCCTGCCAGGGGCTCCGTTCTGTCCTGCCGTTCTCTTTCCAAATAAAAGGGATAAGGAATCCTTACACATTTTACAGATACAATGACCTAAGAAACAGATGTATTGTAAAACCAAAAAGCAAAAGAACAACATTTTTTAGCTGCATGGCTTGCAGGTGTTGATGTGAAGACGTGTTTGCTTCCTGGAAGTATTCATGTGAGCAGTTATTTCAGGTTCTCTGTTCTGGGGGATAAGGCTACAGAGCAGCTTCAGCGTGCTTTGTACTGATGCGCTGAATCCCCTTACCTAGTAACATCTGTGGGCAATATTGTTCCTCCTCCACACCATGGTGTCTTGGTTTTTTTTTTTTTTTTCCATTTCAGTGTTAAAACATGCATTTCGTGTTGTGCAGAGTGCCAGAGAATTCAAACTAAATGCTCAAAGCCTACCCCAAAAGTTTTTAGATGGATCTATTCTCACTTCTAATGCTTCCTTTAGATTCTATTACAAAAAATAATGAAAAACCACGCCGCCAATGAAACGTATTTTCCTTCACTAAGACCCTAATCGGAACTAAAGATCTAACTAACTACCTTTAAAGAGACATCTCAGGGACAATTCTATTAAGTCACAACATGTCCGAAGAACTTCAGCTTCCACTTAAAAAACAGCCTCCCCAAACAAAAACTTTCCATCTTATAACCTTTAAAATGGCAGAGTAAAAATGGAAAATGGAAGTGCAGTGTAGCCAAAGTTCCACTTGGTATCAGTTCCAGTTAGCAGACAACCTAAATGGGTAAACAGGCATTATGTGACTCACCCACTGTGCTCAGAGGATAACTACAGCACAAAAAAATCATGAATGCAGTTCTGACAGAAAAATAAATGCAACAGAAGTGATCGATTTATGTAGAAACACAACAGTGACCTTTAACAGTGCTGCCCTCTCTTTGGAGAAAAGATGGAAATCTGATAAATTCCAAACAGCAAGGTCTCACTCTGCTGTCTCTGTCCTTTTGTGATCCTAACGACTGTACAAGTACTACATGTGCAGCAAAACTCTCTCCCATACACAGTGTGGGAATTTGTCTTGGGCCAGAGCAAGGCAATCTAGTGTCCAAACTGACTCTCATTTTGAAAAATAAATGGAAGGTGACCTTGACATAGATACAAACAAATTAATCAAGTCATTTATTATCTGTTAACACAGCTATGTCATTCTGTGCACATTCATTTGTTCATGTGCATTCATTATCTGTTAACACAGCTATGTCATTCTGTGCACATTCATTTGTGGGCAAGTTGTTCTAACCTTTCACCAATGCCAGTGTGTCTATACTCAACAAGCACTACACAACAGACTGGATTTCTTTTGTGAATTTTGCCTCCGTAATGGAGACCCAATTCCCAAGAGAGGCCTTATGAGTTACAACAGTATTTATTTCCTTGTAAAATCTTCTGCTCAATAACTGAAAGAAAACTGATTCAAATCCTATTTTCCATCATGCTTCCAGCAATTTTTCTGCTGTCTGGGACCTAAATTATAGAAAACATCACAGGAAATATCACAGTGGACTTAAGTGACTTCTTAAGGAAACTGTGCAACTTCATAAAATTAAATTCCAAAGCAGAAGTTGTACAACTGTTAACATACAAAACTCAAGAATTAGCTCATATACAACATTGTTTTTTCAAACTTTTTCCTTATATGACAATGAACCATGTATATGTACCCAAAGTACAAGAACCCTCCTGTACAAAGTCTAAATATTTGGCAATATATAATTAGTTAAATGAAAGAAATTACTGGTAAATTAAACTTACCAGTTGGTCTGCTCTTGCTTCTAAGTCATTAGCAAATGACAAAAGATCAACCTTGGTAACGCTTTTATTGATCTAAAACAAGATTTGAACAGCACAGAAAGAAAAGAGTATTACTGCACATGCAGAATGCACTTAATCACATCTCTTACAATGTCCATTCCTCATTTCTTCAAATGTTTAATGAACTTAACTTCTTAAATGCTTTTGCACCAAGTTTTATGCATCTTCAAAACCTCCCTTTCCAGTCAAAAGCAGATTTGTCTCTGTTTCACCCACTTTTATTTTTATGCTTCATTCCAGCTAGATACCTATATTCACCTCACCTCTGTCAAGTATGCTCCAAAGTTTATCCCTTCTATTCCTGAAGAGCTGAAATTCAGAAGATTCTCTTTCCCAATTTCATCCAGCAGAATGATTTTGCTGAGGTTTATCTGAATGTGTTCAATTCTAAGTGCTACATCTTCTGTATACTGAGAAGGAAATAAAACACAGAGGTAGTTTGCACCTGGTACGTCTCTATATCCCTTCTCTCATATAAAAGCATCTTTCTTTTCCTGACTGATCACTTCCACAAAGAAGCACACAAAGAACTTCCCTTTCACTTACATCTGGTTAGTTTAATTAACTTTGACAGAATCCAGGTAAGGTCCCTCCCTTCCCTGCAGTATCGACACAGCCTGTCCAAGCCACATTCTAGCCCATCTGTGCAGCTTTCATTCCAATGAATTACTCCCATGCCAGCCTCTACTACTATGCAAACTCAGACAAATTTCAGTAACTCTTACTCATCACTATATAATTGCCATATATTATAAATGCATTGTACTGTATGTATACATACACACATGTGTGTGTATATATATAATGGATATTATAAATAATTATATATTATCTGGGACAAAGACTATATGTATTAAGTGTAGAAACAACACTTGCCAGAATGGAACACAGACCCCAAGGTGTTGCTGTAAGGCAGGACTGTATTACGGACAACCGAAAATTAGCACACTCATGTATTATTACAGCTTAACTGAAAATATTTTACCTTATCCCTCTCTCCTCTCCTCCAAAGCTGAAAGCATTCTTAAAAGCATAACATGTCCAAGACCACATAAATATGATTGGAATTCCTTTTAAATTAGGTTGGACAGTTTTGTCTCCTTGCAGAACGTACTGCATATTAACATCTAAAATCCATTAAAGCTCAGACATACTACATCATGTTCAAGACCAAATATCTCTTTAGCTCTCAAAAATATTCATGAATCCACCGAAATTTTCCTTACTTACCATACTAATATTCAAAAATTCATTGATATTGAACAGGTGGTCTAGATGAAGGGAAGTATAAATTCCTTTGTTTTCCTTGCAATCACTACAAAAATAAAAATACATGCGTCAGCCTGAAAATCACCCTAAGGACAGAGGTAAAGAAAACAATTAACAATATTTTCACATTTGAAGAAAACCTTAAAAAGGTGTTCTGCCTATATTTTTTGAAGCTTTGTCTATAAGAACAAAAGTAATTAACAATTTCTGATGGTCTCAAAGATATGAAACAGTATTTTGAAGAGCTCAACTGCTACTGTTACACCATATTATGTTAAGACCATCCCTAATAACTCATTGATAGAAGATCACTTTTGCTAGCCATTCACCAGAAAATCAGAACATGGTCTGGACCATGTCAGATTTCTGTGCGTGCCTGAAATACAAGGCTGGAATATAATACAAAACCCAGATATAAATGGAACTAAATCTTGATCCATAACTTCACGTACCTGTATACTTTTTCAAAAGTCAAGTTAATATTTGGATTTTTAAAAAGAATGCCAGAAAGATAGTTTTTCCAATGCTGATTTAGTAAGTAGGGAGTATCCAAAACCTACGAGATAGAATTCAGTGATGTTACTGTAATACTGTGTTTTCAGTGCATGAGTATATTCCTAGGTGATCTTTTGACACATTTCCACATCTAAGCTTATCACTTGCTGATAGAAGTAGAAGCAGAAGAGAAAATTCAACCTCTCTGGTGTAGAAAATGGATATTAAAGCTCCATGTCACCAAGAAATGCTGAATTACAATACAATTTATCTCTGATAGAACATGGGCATATAGTATTTACACTGCAAAGCAAATTAAATAAAAAAAGGATGAAAGCCTCCATTCAATGTACAAATGGAAAGTAAAAAACAGATCCAAACTCACTTGAGGTGTCCCCAAAAAAATAATAAACCATGCATAATTGACAAGACCATTAAGACTTACAGGAAAACTATTCATTGTTCAATAATTTGAATATGAGTAACTTCACCTTGAATAAAGTTTTATCTTCAAAGGGCTCACACACCAGTTTTTCTATATTTCCACCTGTGATAAAAGTTAGCACCACTACAATCATCAGCACCCAGGAGAAAAGAAAACTGAATCCAACGCCACTGAAAAAGAAATAATTTACATAAGTTTTTGTTTTTTAAGAAGAAAATGTACATACTTTGGTTAACAGTGAAACCAATGATAAGTAGCTATAGCATTTTTAGAGAACAAGACCTGGCGGATGGCAAAAATACTTTTATTTTCCAACAGTATTCCTGCTGCCTGAAATTTCTTGAATGTTCCAGACCTGGAAAGTTTTCAGTTAGAATGCAGCTAAAATATAAACACTTGACATTGCAGTTGACGTGAAAAGTCCTTTAAGAGTTAAGAGCAACAAAAGCATATAGATTTCTTTTTTAAATCCAAATCTCTACCCTTGTGGTCTCAAAAGACTGTAACACAGATTTCAGATGCTATCTTCTGCACACAACACAAATGATATTAAGCTCTTCCTGGGAACTTTCAAGAGCAGCCCCAAACCTTCTGAAGTGACTTGATAAAGTCACATGTTTGAAGTCTCCTCATATGGCTTATTTTCTCCATTTTGAACAAATGCTTCAATATATTAAAAAACAAAACAAACAAACAAACAAAAAAACCCTATAAATTCCATTTATATTTTCAATTATTTGATACAGCTCTGGAGTTTCCAAATGAGTTTACACTGATAGTCACTACCTATAACTCTTTTCATACAAGAGTAGATTCAGATATGATTCTCAAGGAAAGAGCAACCCAAGGCCTAGGTGTTTCACTGTAAGTATGTTAGGTAAATGTTTATGTTCTAATTTTTTCAGAACATGTACATTGGTAATAAAAATTCTCTTCATGCATATGTCCTTTAAAATCAATCTAAAAAAAACCAACCCCCCTACAAGTATATGTATTTTCTTTTTCACAAGTAAGTGAAACTCACGCCATAAGAAAGTTTCCTCCAGTGTTGGAAATGCAGCCCCTGGTTGTTGGAGAAGCATGTTTATCATAACCACAGGTTCCACATAGCAACCCAAGATAGTAAAAGATCACAATCAGGACCACCATGCAGCAGAGAATGAGACAACCCAGCCACCTAAGGAATAAAGCCCAAATGCCTGGTTATGTTCAAATAAAGAACACACTGAAGACCTGCAGAACACTTCAGGCAATGCAATATTCCTAACTGGCCCATCTGTGGTTCTTGCTGCGTAACAAGTGTCAGCAAAAAAACCCCTCTCTTCCTACACCAGCATGTATTTTGCACTGGGAATCCGATCTCTGCTTACAGATTGCTGAAGGGCTGGGGAACAATCCTTACAGGTGTTCTAAGGTCCAGCTGCTATATGCTGCTTGCACTGCAGCATCAAACTCGAAGTGAAACAAAGCATGAGAATCTGCCTCTGCTGTGTCAAATGGTAATTTGTTCAAGAAGCAAATGATAAATTTATGCCTATGGATCGATGATTAGTTATGAAGTACATAACTGCTTTTGCTGTAGGTCTTACTACATTTTGCTCACCATTATGTTGGGCCTGAAATTGAAAATAACTTTATTTGAAGCTGTTAAAACCTAGGCTTTATGTGTCTGTTCTGGAGTGCTTTCAATGAGCACCTTATGAGCAGTTTATTAAATTTGATCAGGAGAAAGATATTGGTTAAGAACAGAACTTTAGCTCTTTTTTATAAAGTTATGTAATATTTCCTAGTCACATACATGGAGCACATTCATTTATTCACACATTTCATATCTCCTCCTAGCTTTCTATCCTCCCCCAATTCCCTCTGCTCTTTCTTTTTTCTTCCACCATCAATGTTCCCAGCTTATATTTTTTACATTCCTTTTCAAGTCTCATCACAAAAACTTAGCAGGTATTGAATAGCCTAAGGGAAAGGTTATTATCACTACAAAAAAGGGTTCTTAAGGTTCAGCCTCCTTCTCACTTTCATTTAACACTGCATTAAAACTATTAGCACATTCATTCTGTAGCAGTGAAGCGGATTAAAACACAAGCAGATTTTGATAAGGAGTCAACAGAAACGTCAAAAAGTAGGGAGAACTTGATGAGCTTGAAGATTGAAATAAATTCTAGACAAAGAAACAGTTTGAAATAAAAAGCTTTATGCTTTGAAATATGAAATTATTTTTCAATTACAGAAACCATACAGGTCTCGAACAGAAAGAATGTGTGTAATAGACCCAAGGACAAGTACTACATCAATTTGAACAAGCACAAAGATAAAGTGGGAAGCAAAATCTTTGCTACTACTACTTTGCAGTAGGAAGTCCAAAAAAAGGAGTCACCCTAGCATTATGAAACTATCTGTTTCTTCACGTATTACATCTTCTGACATATATCCTTCCTAAAAAAGATAGGAAAGCCTGCAGAGTAGGCCTTCTCTTGCTCTGTACTAGAACAGCACCCAGCTTGATTTGCTGCAGTCAGGGTCTTTACTAAAACACCCAAAAATTTGCCTTACAGCATCTTGACTTCACTCTTTATTACTAATAGTTTCAATGCCCTTTCAGAATATTAAAATACTACATTAACACATTAGTTACATGCTACTGCATGAACTGTAGGTAGCACTTCACTCCTGCAGTGTTTCCTATTTAGTATGTTCATACCTGTAGAAATCATACTGCTCCACTACTGGAAAATAGTCTTGAACATACGCTTCACTCTGTGTCAGATATACTGTCAAATCTGCTATAATGTTCTGCACAGGGAGAGTTTTTGTGAAGTTACTGATATTTGAACCAATGGATTCCAGCACATTTTTGATATCTGAAAGAACAAATGTATTTCACTGTTACAGATTAACAGAAGAAATTCACATTCCATGTATGCACTATAAAATGCTGTTAGGCCTTTCTGCACATATAACAAGGCAAGCCATGAAGACAAGCATGAGGAAAAGACAAGCAAGCAAAAAAGGATTTAGCTTCAAAGTAACACAATGGCATTTAAAAACACAGACTTTATATTTAGCATTCAGTTTAATGTTGAAAGATGTAGATGTTGAGCCAGAATTGCTTATCTTGCCAGCTTAAATCTTGCTTTTCATGCAACACTGCAAATGGTAAAGCTGAGTGAGACAATTAGCCACCAGGTTTATGAAAGAGAAGATCAAAATCTATTTAAACTTCATCCCTTGGGTATACAACACTAAAATAAATTAGACTGCTTATATTGATAATCTATACCACTTATTTCCGATCTCATTTAAAAAGATTAGCTAAATTCATTCCAATTAGTTAGCAACACTCTTGAGATAAAGATCAATTAAGCCAATTTTTTCCCCAAATTATGAAGAAACACTATGTTTACAATTTAGATACACACTACTTAGATACACAAAGACGTGATTCATTCACTTATCATACATATTCTTTATTTGTAAAATGCAATTCTGCCTACTCTTCCCCTTCTCTCAACTTGGAGAAACTGCAGATTGTGTAAATAGAAGTTGCTACTTGGTAGTAGGCAGCACCTTCATAGAATCATAGCATCACAGAATGGCCTGAGCTGAAAAGGACCATAATGATCATCTACAACATTTCAACACCCCTGCTATGTGCAGAGTTGACAATCACTAGACCAAACCACTTCCTCCTATTCCAACAACAGCTGGACATGTTTTCAGGTGTGTGTTCTGATGTTTCTCTTCCAATCAAGCTCAACCAGGTACCAAAATGCTCATTAAAAAAATTAACAAATGAACATGAAATTTGTCTAGTAGAACTACTGGTTTTGTTTGATTTGCTAATGAAACTCATTTTTATAATAACAAAAAAGTGCAAAAATAACAATGGATAAATTAAGATGGTCTGTGTTTATGGATAGCGGCAGTTACTGAAAATGAGCAAATCTCTGTTAGATTTCCTAATGAAAAGTATAACATCACATTTTTAGAAAACTGGCTCACTTTAGGCAAGTTCACACAGTGTACTACAGTTCTATACATACTGTGTTCCATTTTGCCAAAAAAAAAAAAAAAAAAAAAAAAAATACAAGGAACAGCTGTATATTTATGCAGAACAGGTCCACAATGCAAGAACAAAAATTAAAACAGATTAGTATGCATACATTATACTACATTTCAGTCAGTGTCAACTGTCCAGGTACTGTCAAAAAAATCACAGTTCAAAGCCAGAGTAATAAAGCATTATTAAACAGGCATTAAGGTACATTTTTTAGCTCCCCTTTGACATCTGCTACATTTCAATACAGCAGCAGGCAGGATCAGCTAGTTGTTTTGTTGCTGTGGAGTTTTTTTATTTGTTTGTTTGTTTAAACAACTAAACAGCTAAATACATCATAGATACACCACTGCTCATGCAAACTAGTCTTTCAACCCAATAAAAGTAAATATTAGAATGCAGCTGGGACCTCACTATTTCTCATTACTTGAGTAGCACAATGCCCAGCAAATAGAACTGTTCTGTAAAATAGCATATGGTCTATTTTTAGACTTTATTTTGGATCTCATATTGAGACGTACTTTCTATGCTTTTCGTGGCACCACATCTTAAAAGAAGATTTAGACTTAATTTTTGATACCCTTTAGCCCAGGAAATATATTATCAATAAAAGAAAACAAATGCATCTGTAACTGATGCAAAAGCATTAACATTAAACAGTTAAAGTAGAAAGGCAGTTTCCATTGTCCTCACCTGATAAGATGTTCTTAGTCTGGTTCACTACTAAGTCTGGAGTATCATTAAATGCTGCATAACCCTAAGAATAAAAGTTGGAAAAATTAGAATAAGCTTCTCATGGACACATTACTTGCAACTTTTTCCCCTGTGACAAGGACTGAAAGTCCATGCACAGTAAAATACATGTGGTAATACCAAGAAAAACATACCTTACCACTGCGCATTAGAAAAGGTCAAAGCAAAATACAAAGTCAGTTACATTTCAGATTTCATTCACTCACCAAGATACTATTTATAAAATGTCTAGATTTAAATACACACATCAGTCACAGTCGTTTCAAACTTTATAGTATTTTTGTTTGACACTTCTCACTCCTACAAAACTAACACATACATGAAGACTCACTAAGTGAAGGGAGTTACTGCATACCAGTAAAACACCCTCTGCAATCCTATGCTTTTTTAACATGTTTGTTACAAACAATGAAATCCAGCTACCTCTGATAAACACTGTAATCTTCAGTACGAAGGGGAGAGGAAGGATTAATGCTGTGGGAACCAACCTCAATAGTTCACAATGACAGAAACAAGAAGCTACTGCCGTGGAGGCTTGAAGCTTTTTCCTGCAAGCCTGATCCCTTCATAGGCAAGCAAGGGTGCAGGTCTCCAGCACACAGCCTGCAGTCCCCTACACCGTTCTTTTATTCTTAGCAAACGTTATCAGATTGCTAGGTTCTTACACTGCTCTAACTATGACACATTTGCAAAAATACTAATAGTAATTGCATTAGATCCACTGTACCAGATTTAAGATTGAATATGTTCATTTTAAGATGATGGGAATACATTACAGTTGATTAGAAGACCATGGATTTTTAATTATTATTATCTTGAACCAAAAATATAGAGCTTGTTAGCACATCCACGTATCTGCCTTTTCTCTTTTTAAGGATCCCGCTTTCAAACAGACCATTAGCTACACACTTTTGACATGTAATATCCTATGGATGTAAAGCACCACATTCATACTTTTAAACACTAAATCTTGGTAAAAAAAAATGGAATAATACACAGAGCAACGATGAGGTAGGAACAAGAGAATTCTGCTTGGGAAAGCCAAAGGAAAACAACAGATACTCATGTATCCCAGTTTATTACTTAAGAGTTTATAAGCTTGTTGTGAAACATACCTTCTGAACCAGACTAGAAAGGTCTATTTTAAGGACATCATTGACCTTCGCAAGCTGTGAGCTCACCCCCGGCAACTAGGAAACAAAAAGCATCCTTAAGTCACATCAAAGTTGCAGTCACAGTAAAGCAACTACTTTACTTAATATTTCAAAGATAGGAGCGAAGGATAAAGAAACTAGGAAGACTGTTTGTAATAGAATCTTTGTAGCATACTCCTAAAACCTTTGTTGTACAAAAGCAAAGCTTAACTTCAGCATTTTTGGGAGGGCAGATTCTTTTCCTGCCATAGCAGCACTTTAATGTAGCTGCTTGGCACACATTTTATTCTTTTCCACACAGAAAATGAGAACAGTGACTGTAATTACCCAGAAACACAGAGTTAATGAAGGTCACTTATCTCACAAGTGCCAGCATACACTGAGCCATTAACTTGCAGAAATACTAGCAGGCCTATTTAAGGCGATCACACCATGAGTCTGAAAACACTCTCTTACCCCACTGAAATTGGCATTAATGTTCAGTTGATTTAATGAATTCCTGATGATATTGCAAGTTGAGGCAGCCTGAGCTGCAGTGCATGCAGAATCATTGAGGGTGTTGCTCAGGTGCATTTTAACATCTGTCAAATTTCCATGAAGCCTCTCGGTGCCTTCCTGCAAAACTTCTACAGAGACGCTCACGTTTTCCAATGCTTCCTTCGTTTCTCTGATGGCTGCAAGAATGCAACATCATTTTTTTTTAAATTTTTGTTAGAAACTAGATACCATTACAGAGGGAAAGTGTAAATACACATGTAAACACTATGAGCTTCTTGACAATACTGATTTAAATTATCTTTCCATCTCACCCAGAAAAACCCTCCAGCATCAAATACAAGTTTATTGTTAATAAAAACAAATTACTTACACTCTCCTACAAACAAATTAATGTGCTCAACCTACTTTTACTGAGATTCTACCCACTTTTCAGATTACTCTTTTCTACTCATTCCCTCTTTCTTCTAACCCGGTTGTTTTAATAAAGAATTTCAATGCTTGGTTATCAGAAAACAAAAGAAAGCCCATATCCACAAAATAGTATTTTTAAGGTTAGTTGTAGTCCAATTGAAGAATTACATGGCTGCACAAGGAAAGGAAAAGAGATCAAGTTGCATCAGCTAAGCACTTACGCACATTAACACTTGCCTGCCTTTAGATTTTGTCCCAGTCACACAAAAGAACACTAAACAGTAGTTTTAAGACAAAAAACCACACATATACAACTACAAGTGCACAAGTGTACGAAAATAAAGCACACTTCACACAACACAAGGTTCTCTCTTTTTTTTTTTTTTTTTTTTTTACCTTTGATAGCCCTTTCCACTTTGACTTCAAGACAAATAAGAGAAATAAAGCAAAAAAGGAGAATGATGATGAATGAACGAGAAAGATTTCAAAAAAGAATTCATGGATTAAAAAACCCACCAAGTGACTGAAGTTTAAGGATGATTTTCACTTTACTCTATAATGTGCACCTGATTCCTGAAAAAGGAAAACCTTCAAAAGAAAAAAGAATAAAGGAATCTTTTCTTTAAAGGGAGATGGAACAAAGCACAAACAACACTGAACTCAAAGATACAATGAAGAAATGACGGTTGTTGGCACTCTCATACTAGGTTTGACACTGATGACACTCAACCATAGACCTGTCAAGGACTAACCTGCAAAGAACTACAGACAGATCTGAGTGCACAGCTTTCCTACTCTCCTTTATAATGCCTGGAAAGGGACAACCACCTGAAGTGGGGATTGCAGATTTCATTTGCCTTCAATGACTGCTAAAACTAGACATCAACAATGGCACTTACATCTTTGTTTACTTTTTAAATACATTTATAAATCTCAGAATATTGGATAACCACATTTTAAAAGAAACATCAAGGCACACTGAAAAATGCTAAGTAGAACCATGGTACTGCATAAAGCAATCTCATGTTGTGCACCAAAAAAATGAAGCCTGTCTTATGGTGGCAACAGAATATTAATACAAGAACATGCACATTTTTACCTCCTGCCATTGTCAAAGCTGCATCAAGTGCGGGACGTACTTCTTTCCCCAGCTGCTCTTGAACTCTGCTACCAAGCAAAGGTCCAACATCTGCAGCATGGAGAGATGAAAAAATCATCACATCCTAGTTCAGCTTTAACTGCCTTTTAGCACAGGTGCTATCAATCTCTCACTGAACAAAGTGTACATAAGGTACTACAATTTCTCTAAGGCCTGACACAGTTTTTTTAATGGCAATTACTATCTTTTATGGAAACAGATTTTCTTCATAAGTAGTCTTAACAAGGTCTAACATCTGACAGGAATTTTGTGGCATACTCATTCAATACAAGCTATGGTTCTGTATGCAACAAAAAGAAGAAAATAGTTTATTTTCCCTTTTCCCATTCCTGATGTGTCAAGGTGACCCACAGCCCAGACCTGACAACCATCCTCGCCAAAATCCCTTAAGCGTGTTACGCATGGCTGCCAGCCTGCTCTCAGCATTCAGTGTTGGCTTCAGGCTCACGCAGATCCATCTCCTCCCTCCAAGCCCTCCTGCCTCACTGCCCACAAGCAGAAATCATCTTAGTTCAGCAAAAATGAGAAGGGGCGTATGCGAAAGACAGAAAGATGCAGAGTTGAGATTGGTGAAGCATCTTAATGCAACCTCAGGTAGTTGCTAGGTCTCCTCTCTATTCAGGTTAAGTAAACAGCTCTTGGAGCTTTTGCTCCTGATGAGATCGGAATACTGAATGCTACAGAAGCATCCATTACTGTCAAGACTGCCATTTCTAGCCGGGGATGAGAATTTTTATAAAGCAGAAAAGACTTTCAGCGTTTCCTTAGGGTGGGCAAACCGAATTCATCTACATTTCTCTTGATGTTTATTCTACTGTTGATTCACTTTTAACGAAATCCTTTCGTCCTCAGGTGTCACACACTTAATTCTGGTGTCTCAGTACTGTACAAGAAAATAAAAGCTATCTTTATTTATTGATGAGCACTCCTATCACAAATCCAGTTAGTTTCCCATAAGCTAGCATATTAAACTTGCACTGAAAGTAAATAAATATTTAATTTGAATTCTTGGTTTGAAAGCTAGAAGCTAGTACCTGAAGTGCAGTTACTAACTAATTTATTTTTCAGCTACTGTTCTTGTTTTTAAAGACTTATACAATGCCCAGTTTTTTTAGTGTTCTTGCACAGAAATAGTTAGGAATATGTGCAAATACTGCTTTGGCTACTGCCTTCAGTGTGTTTCAGTAACCTTTAATAGACACACTGACTTGAAAGTACGTCAACCTTGCTGCACTGAAAACTGTTCCTATAACATGCTTTAAACTGATACCAAAGTACAGACTCTAGGAATCAAAAGTTACTGTCTTTGCTTCCAGCAATCCTGTTCACAATCAGTTTTGATATTTCTGCACTGCACTTCAGTCTGAAATGCAGACCTGTGCACAAACTGACATACTTATCAGTACATGTTAACAATGTATACTGAATTCTAATCTATACTGAATATGATTGCCCTTTTCTATTATTACCATTTTTGAAAGTTCTGAAAAAATTCAGTGGTTTGGTTCTGTTTATTGAGAGGTTTATAAGGTGATGCCTCCTATCATGACTGTACTGTAGGAGAAGGTGAAGCAATTGTATTTCAAGTGTTATGTCTCGTTCTTCAAGATATGCTCATCCTGAAATGCCAAATACAATAAGCAGCTTTGGAAAGAAGATAAATGTTTATTTCAACTTCTAGCTGAGCAGAGGACAAAGAGACAACAACAAAAATAAAAAAATGCAGAGATCTACAGTTATTGTAACTACAGCAACAGCTAAAAGCTCTTCTCCTTCACATTTGGCTCCACAGTAAAGACTCAGGAATAATACTCTAAAAAAACACAAGTATTAGTGGCTATTGAATTGTAAAAAAGGGAAAAAATACTACCCTGATTTATGCAGTAAGCAATTTAACAAAAGACTTATTTCAGAAAATAGTCTGCATTACAACAGCTCCAAGTCATTTTATATGGATCGAATCTCAGATTTTAGTCTCATTTAACACTAAGAACAATAATTATGTTTGCAAAGCATGCAATCGTAATTCAAATTTCACTTTGCATTATGAGCTGTTTACATTATCTTATTGAAGGCTTTAAGTAAACAACACATCACTAACCCCCTCTAAATCAAAGTACTTACTATTTAGGTCAGAGAGCGCTTTATCCTTAGTTGTGTTGTACTGGCTCACCAAGTAGTCAATTTGCTGAAAAAAAAAGATGATATGAAAAACCATTAAAGTAATTGGGAAAAAAAAAAAATAATAATAGTTTCAAATAATGAGTCAGAAATTGCCACACTTTGAAACAATCCAAATATTTGTGCAGTAACCCTTTCCCCCACCCCCCCCGAAATTCCGGAGTTCTACTGCTTTCAGTTAACTAAATGTTTTAAAACCCTGCTTAGCACAACTGCACATAAAAAGATGGGTTTTATTGGGAAACATACTGGAAGATCTCTGGGGAAAAAGACTCTACTTAAAAATGTTAAGTAGCAGAAACCGTGCAACACAAAGGCTTCAACTCACTCAGGCACAGTACGTTTGTGCATGTCTTCATTCCTCTGATTTTCTAATTAAAAAGATGATTTCTCTTGAAATAAGAATTGTGCAGCAAATTTATGGGATAGTGGTTCTGAAGCAATTCACAGTCCAGTCTGGCTTTTATGGGGACAGCCTCTCAGAGTTCCCCTTACAAAAGAAGCTGGTCATTCTGCCTTAACGCAAATGGTTTTCATTGACAAACAGATCTGGTCCAGCTGCAACTTGGGTTCCACCAAGGCACTGAGTCGATATAAAATATCAACTTAGTTATCACCAGTTCCTGGTTCTGTACAAAAGGCTATTAAATAACTATTCCTGAAGGAAATCTTGCTACAGGTATGAAGTAATTTTGATTGATTTCTGCATGTTTAAAGTAATGCAGTATGAATCCTAACCGAGTCATGCAGAAGTTAACATGCACAGTAAACACGCTTCCAATTTTAAACAGAAGTGACTCAGATGTGCACAGAAGTGTATTTGGCTTGCAGCCTCAAGTTTTCAGTGAAGTGAAGAAAAAAAGAAACTAAAAAACACCCACAAAACAACTCATACATCATACAGCAGTGGATGTAATTAAATCACAAAGTATGAGACAGACTTTTTTTTTTTTTTTTTTTTAAACAAAGGAGAAAAGAATAAAAAGAGCTTTTCCTACCAAGAAAGACGTAGGCTTTTTTGTGATGGTTGGTTGGTTTTCCTAGACAAACCAGAGGACTAACATTTTGCATGTCTGTAAGGCTTGCACTGTTTCCAGCAATGTCATAGACAAAATGCAATTCATGCAACTAATAGTGTTAGCAACAGCATTCGTGTAGTCTGCTAATCTGCTATGACAAGAACTCTTTACGTGTGACTACTTTCAAATCCTCCTATATGTTATACACCTCGTACTCACAAGGCCAGGACATCAGTTAGGATTTCAGAGCTTATAGCCAATGAATTGGATTCCATAACTTGTTAAAGAAACAGAAGTCCTTGTCTTAAGAAATCCTTACACGTGTGTGTCTATACATGATATCTGCGTACCTCATCTGTCAAAAATGACTTGTAAGATGTATCTAGTGATTGCATAATCAAGTGCTATCAAGTCTAAGAAAGAAAAATTAATAATTCTGCATACGAACAAAAAACCTGCTACACAGCTGAAACTTTGAGGAACTCCTGGCACCAATGTTCAAGTCCTGACACTTTCAAATTCCACAGTTCTACTGCTCTTCTCCGCTTTTTAGCTGGAGCCTATTTTTTTCTCTATTAGAATAGTTCCTTCCATGTAACAAGATTTTCTATTCCGATATTTCCTGTCACATACTTATGACTATAATCACTCAGTGAAGAGGAACCTAGTGAGTTCTGAGACCATTGGTTTTATCTTTCAGTGCAAGCTTTCTCTGTGCCCCAAGGCAGCTGCACAAAAGGCACCCTCTCTCAAGAGTTTCTTGATGCAACCTCCACTTCCTGACATACACCCGCATCACTAGGCTGTCACAACACACTGCTCAAATTAATAACTGTATACAGATCAACTCTCAATATTGAAAAATTTAACTGCACTTCCCAGATGCAATGATTCAAAAGCTGCTCTAATAATGTTTGTTCTCGAACATGCATAGTCATATGAAAACTTCTCATCTCATTTACTCTACTTTATGAGAGTGACAAACAGAGAATTAACACCACGCTGTGGTTGTCATTTATATCAAACAGAAATAAACGAGTATTTTCTGCAATACTTCTTCCTTATACTTCTCCCCTCCCGCCCTCATTCCCCATAAAGAAAAAATTCTTTACCGCTGGAGTGTCGTTAAGGAAAACTTTCAGATCTTTAAAATTACTGTTGACCAGTTTCTTTGCTCCTCGGACTTGACTAGTTAAGTGTTGGTTGGCAGCATATGCACAAAGCACTCCAACGCTACAAAAAATACAGATAAAATATTTATTACAGTGAATGCCCGCCCTAACATTTTAAACCAGAACAAAAGATACAGCAAAAAAAACTCTAACGTTATGAAAATAAAGGTCTCCCTAAGCTTACACTTTGTCTTTTTTACTGTGATATCTCATATACACCACTTGGCAAAGTAGAGGAATTAGCTGTCAGAGCAGATACGGTGCTACTAAAGAAAACGAAAAAGCAGTGCTAACCCACAGATTTCAGAAGTTAATAAATTTACATACACTTACCCATCCGCACTGACAGCATCAGCAAATATGTGAATTGTATGCAGCTCATCAGTATTACACTCTTCCACCACTATCATTATTGCTGACAAAGCCAAAAGCAAATGTTCATAAAATAACTATTTCACATTTGAATATTGAAAATTTTACATTGAATATTTTACATTTGAGAACTTCAGCAACATTTGCTCATAATGGCTTTATTTATTCACATAATTATATACATACTTTAAAAATAGTTCCCATTAGCTCTAAAAAACATATAAACATTTCCTGATAATAAAACAAAAGGTGGGAATCAGGATAAGACTTCCAATCAGCACTGCCGCTAATTATCTCCTATTGGATCATCCCCACTGCAAAATTCTAATCAAAACACAGTAGATTCAAACAAACATCAGATAAAAAGGCAATTAAAAATCCCATGAGAGCCTCCAAAATCTTTCAGAGCATACAAACTACCTAGGTTTTTGTTTCGTTTCGTTTTGTTTAGCTTAGATGTAAAATAAACAGGAGCAAGATTTTTTTTTGTTCGTTTTAAACCCATCTCATACTCATAACAGCTAACCTTTCAATTGGGAACAACCCTTTGCAGTTACAGGCACCAGGAGACAAGTAGAGTGGCCTCAGGTAGGGATGCAGGATTGAGAGCTCCAGAACAGGCTGAAAACAAACCCACTCAGTGCTTCAAGGTTTAACTGGTAGACAGCAAAGAACCACTCATCAAAGGCATGACGCAACCCCAAAGGGAAGCACTGCCTGAAGCCTGCAGCCAGATGCATTACAGGCATTTCTGGATGGCATATTAGTTCAGTCCCTCAGTTGTGCTGCAGTGAAACAGCTCAGCGCTATAATTAGGCAGTATCCTGAAAACAAATGTTATGGACATCCAATCCAAAGGACAGAAGGGAGTAACCATCACAAAAGGCATTGGACTCCTCCCAAACTGACAAACTTCATGTGATGGCATTAAGAAGACCTAATATTTTAAAAAAGGACTTTAAGGAAATTTATACTACCTCCCTACTGGGCAAATAAAATTCTTGCTCCAGAGAATTTAAGCTCAAATTAAGCCATAATATAGGCACTCAAATGAGAAATAAGATGGTGGATGGTGAGCGCATTGAATAATGTGGTACACGCATCTCAGCAAGACAGGAGCAAACACTCCGATGAGGCTCATCTCCTCTTTTTACCAGTGATCCCAAACAAATCTTCATCTTCATCTTTTCCTATTTTAGCTTTCCCAAACATGGTGAAGGGTTGCTCTCCTTCTCTCAAGTACAAGACCTTTTGCTGCTGACACTCAGTAGGAAAAGTTCGGTTTCAGAGCATGACAAAGTTAGAGATGGCTTCCTACCGTACCAGAATTTCAGCCCTGCCTTTAATGCTGACTACCAGCTACCTTCCCAAAAGAAGTGACCCTTACTAATTAACCAACAGCAAGCAAGGGGCAGCTATATTTCCAACATGGCCAAGCCATTCTGCAGCCATTAACATCAGCTACTACCAAAGAACAATGAACTTAGGATGCACAAAATGCCAAGAACCTGAACAACCTCCAATGGTTTGCATTTTGTAAATGATTTACACTTTGGACACATACAACATATAATTTGTCTTCTTTCTACAGTAATGCTAATGGTTTTAAAAACATTTTTCTATTAAGGCAGTCAAATATTTTTCTTCCTCCTCAAATCTGAAGGCAAACTATCTGAAGCTATCAGGAAAAGCAAACATTTGTGTGTCCCTCTGTGGACTCAGTTTATAATGCCATCTTTGTTCTTTGGGCTGCCAGCGTTTTTATGCCTTTTCAGAGTTATGCTCACAGGCTAGAAAGGTCAATTTCAAGCTAACAAAACAGTACTTTGTGAGATTTGAGCATGATCATTTTTCTCTTCAGTCTCCTAAATGGAAGGGGTGGGAGGACATGGGACAAGGGGGAGATACTTTATACAGCTGATGCATCCGGAACAACTGCGGCTACATTCTGAATGCAACTAAACAAATACACAGCACGGAGAGGAAAGAAAAATCTATTTGTTATATAACTGAACCTTGCGTCAACATTCAGTAAGCAGCTACAAGGAGAAAAGCATAAAGGAGGAAGAAAAAGGACATCTCACAACTGTTAAACAAGCTCAGGAGTCAGATCCTCCATGCTCAGCTCCTGTTTGGGTGTCATCGAGATACAGAAGTCACTACTCCGGTTACAGGGGGGTCCTAAGCCTTTTCTTTAGCTGTGTTGCTAAAAAAACTAAACTCACAGAATAGAAACAGAACTGATTTACATACTGGGTAAATGGCACCTTCCCCACCACCAAATAGCAGACAAATAGCGGGTGGGGGCTCTCTGTACTAACCTGCTCACCAAATCTTTTGATTAAGGTTGACTCCCAGATTCTGAACAACGCGTGTTAGCAATTCCACACAGCCCAAATGCTTTCTACAAAGCCTCAGAGATGGATTTGTCAAGATACCAATACTGTTTCCATTCCATCAGACTTAGCTTTGCCTAGTACATCATACATAACAACCACAAATTCATACATATGACTACAACTTTAGAAAAGAACTCAACACCACCATCTCTCTGAAGGACAGAAAACCAACCACGTGCTAGTCTGTCCTATCAGCCAAACTAGTTCCTATGACTGGCATTAAGTTTGGCACTGGCACGTACATTTTCACTAAAAATAAATTAAAATGTCCCATCTTTGGATGGCAATACAGGAAAATGAAATTACAAAAACCATGAGGTACTTCAGACTCACTCTACCAAGAAAAGTATTTCAAGCACAAAATGCATCTTCTAGGGAATGTAAGCCTGTGTACTTCAAAATAAACAACTGACTACATAAACACAACTCCTACTTGCTTCCTTATACTTCTTCTTGAGGAAACCCCACTGTAACAAGCACACTCTGCCTTCAGAGAGCACATCTCTGTAGAACAGCTTTTTGTTTGCTTTATTTAGAAAAGAAAAATAATGTAATCTTTTTCCTTTCTTTACACAACTTCTCAGTAAACTTAAACCCTGATCCTGTTATCCAGAGCACCATCAGTGGAAAGGTAAGAAGCTAAAATCTGCTAGCTGATATCTCCTACAATCTGAACTAACAGCATACACAGGCATGACACATATATACTGACACACAGAAGAGCCATCCACAAGTTACCAGAGTTTCCCAGGAGTTGCTATCTATGTGTACTACCTACTGCAAGCTCTGTGCTCAACATCTTTTCCCTGCTTATACTCTTCTGTCATGCATTTGAGCTTCCTCTCCCAGCCAAGACATCAAGCCAGTCTTGATGTCACCCAGTAGCAGTGGGGTCTGCTCTTTTGGCTGTGTCTGCAATTAGCCAGAAGCAATTTACTTGCTCAAGATGGAACTCTTTCGTTCCATCATTACTGACACGGTTAATGTACAAAGCTGTGGTCCAATCTGTGAGAAGTGTGGATTTGGAAAAAACAACTACAAGTAAATCTTCCAACTGAGCTGAAACTGTAAGATAACTAGGGAGAAGAGTAGAAATGCACCCACAAAGAGAGTTAGGCTGAGGACAGTATATGAGGTGGAGAAACAGGTATATCTCAGGCTCTCTTTTTTGTGTGAGGTGGGTGGGGAGGAGAGATGGCTACTAGCATAACTCTCCCTTGTATTTCAGCACAGTAATAAGCAAGCTGCCATGGATTTAAATAGATCCAGGCATAGCACCCCCTCTTCCCTTGTTGAAGAAGAGCTGGGAAGGGCAGCAGGCTCTTGTTTTGTGTAGCCATAAACTGGAAATTCGAGAACCAGACCTGCCTCATCCAGGCTGAGATCAGCAATACAAGCTGTACAAAGCCCCTCTTCACCTTGCGCAGCACTTACAGCATTACAGATTTAGCTGCAAGTCCTACGGGATCATCTCTGCCCATGGCAGCCTGTGGAGAAAGCTCAGGCCAAGCCTTCCCTTGGGGTATGCACCTGACATTCCCGATGCCTGATACAAAAGATGAGTTAAAGAGGCAGTCTCCCCTGCCCTGGAAAAGTGTATTAGTATGGCTCACTGATCTTCCATTCACGACCCGGGGTTTACTTAAAACCACAGCAACAGCTGGCAGCAAACACACCAGTCAAAGACTGACAGGAGAAGGATCCCTTAATGCACTCACTGCTGACAGGCAAAATCCCCTCAGGCACTACAGCTCGAACACAGTGTCCTGAGACATGATGTAAAGGTGCTGGCAAGCTCTGTCAGCTCCCTGAAGCTCCAGTATGCTGAAGGGTAACTTCATAATACATTTTCTTTGAGCACTACTGTGCTAAGAAGTTTTGTCCTGTAACTGTGGCAGGAATGTATAACCTGCTGTACTTTCTGGCTTTCTGGAATTCAGGTTACTTAAGTGTCATGTCTGTCAGCGACATCTGGCAGAAGAGAGCATGATCTAACACAGGGTATCCCCAAGTGCTACAGTTAAGCATAAGGAATGCCTTAATTCAACATGACAGACAGCAGTAAAAGGGAAAAGAAATCAAGGTTACAGTGAAGTGACAAGGTAAGTCCCACTGGATTGAACACTCACATAGTGTGGAATATAAGAAAATAAGAAAAACAGGCATGTGAAAAAATGAAGAAGTTGAAGGAAAACTAAAAAAAAAGACAAACAAACAAACAAACCAAACCAAAACAAAAAAAACCTGAAAGCAAACAATATATTTTGAAAGCATCTGCAGAGAAAATAAAAGCCTGGGCTGCAGTCCCTCATCACTCATTACATGCCCAGCACAGAGCAAGAGGATGCTAATACTCCTCATGCCAACAGCAGCAAAATGTGACTAAACTCAAGCATATACAGTGAGTACATGCACGGCTTAAACAATTCCATCAGTGCCCAGAAGAAAACCCATCATTTTGAACTTATAAGAAAATCTATTAGACGAATACCATAGGAGGCCACACAATGGCTTTTCTCACCACTTCCAAGAACAAAACAGTACATTGTACCTCAGGTTCTCTATGGGATGGACTGAACATAGGACAGTATCATTTATTCAAGAGTTTAACGTAACATTCTGCAATTGCCACTTTGAGACTGGCAGAAACCTCATTTGTCACATTCAGGCTTAATTTTTGCGTTCTGTATCTGCATTCCTCCCAAGTGAACACATAATGACCTGGGGATAACAAAGGCAGCAGCACTTCTATAATGCAGTCGCATTTTTTTTAATAAGTACTAATATTAAAGTACTAATATTATTTAGCATAATAAAATCATTTCTGCACCTACAGGCTAATAGAGTAACATCATATGTCACACGGCACTGCAAAATTAGTGCTATACCAAGCTTTGTGTTGTTCTATTACACTTGCCTTATTATTAAAGAAGCAACAAAAAGAAATGTTGCAAAACAGCTCCTCTGACAGTCAGCATTTTTCTTCTGTCTTTGATGCATTTCCCCACCACAGTTGTCACAGCAACGACACATACAGAAGCAAAGTCCCACAAGAGGCAGTAACAAAATAAATAGCAATCCCAAGGCTGCGGAGACTATAAAACCGATCTCATAGTAGATGGCCTGCAATTCAGACAAAAATAGTGGTAATAGCAGGTATCAAACAGTCACTGCAATCATACAGAGCAAATTAATAACAATTAAACTAAAGACTAAACCATCTACTACGTCTCTGAGGCTATGGGCCCGGTGTTTTTGTCAATAATCAACAACTTTTGTAACAAAAATATATGTAACATTGCAGACACCAACAGCTAACAGTTATTTAATGAGAGCACTAGGAAGTAAGCTACAGGAATGCATTCTATGTGAGTAATATGTGCACGTGAAATGAATACAAAGTGATGCAAATGAAGTAGATTAAAAATGAACATGTTAAAATTTTTGGACCACAAATCTAATGTTGCCCACATCTGTTTCCAAAAGACCTCCATAAATGTCAGCAACGCTGCCTGGATCAGTGCTGCACTGGGTTGGGAGGGTATGTTGTTCTCTTTGTTAATCAGGTGTGGAAAGATTCATGGGATCAGCCAAGGGATGTCCTTCCAGGATGATGGATTGCAATAGCAAAGTTTTCTGCAAACTCCAGATAAAAAAACTGCTTAGGAACTGAAAAATGTAATAGCGTGGATTTTAGGCTCCCTCAGGTAAATACAGTTATTGTGGTGCCAAACAGCAAAACATCAGCAGCTAACAGCATGCTTAGGAAGGAAGGAAGGAAGAAAGGAAGGAAAGGAAAACCTGCAATGCAATACCCTACTGGCTTGGGGCACAGTGCCTGTGAGGCACTGCAAGCCTCCCAGGGACAGCTGCTGCCAACATAGGGCAGCACGGCCCAAACCAGGCCAGCCATGTGTCTGCCCAGCTGGGCAGCATGGGTTGGCCCGCCCCAGCTGTCCCTCCTGCCTAATAAATCTCTCTTCCCAGATTCTCTACAATTTTGGGAGAAATAATTATCTCATTCGTACTTTGAATCCTCCTCTGTTTTATAGATCTGCCAGCACAAGGTCAGCTTGGCAGCCTCAGATGAAACTGGGGCTGCATATTGTCCTGCAAAATAAGTTACAATTTCACACAAGCTATCTATCATGCTCCAGTTCCAGCTTCACTGACGCCCTTCCTCGCAATCCCTAATTACCAACTGATCCAAATACAGCAACCATCACCATTAGCAGAGTTGCAAATTTCTGACCTAATTACCAATTCTAGGATGAAATCTAGTTTTTGTGTTGTTTTTTTTTCCTTTAATCGTCATTAGTACTAACAGCTGGTTTAAACCTGTTCTTCCTTCTGAAGAACACAATTTAGATACTAGCAAGAGGAACATGGATATTTTTCTGAAAGACTACACAGGAACCCACAAAAACATTCCTGTTTTCTTTTTTAGTTAGTTGAACACATCAGAAATTATTCTACGATGTACATTTTAAAATAGGTTAGATGGAAAAAAAAACTAATTAAAAATAAAACGTAAGAAATAGTTGTTTTAATAGGAGTAGTGCATATTGACATGGTTAGTTTCTTGTCAAAGCTGTACATCTACCAGATAAGACTTTACCTGGAGTGTCAGGACAACATTTTCGGGCTGTGGAAGTCAAAACAAATGGAGAGTGTGTGTAACAGGCAGCATGCACAAAAACAAATCGAGTAATGAATAATTAACCACAATCAAAACAATTAACAACACAGAAACAATAACAAAAAGCCACTGAAGTAAAATAATGCATAGAAGCACAACTATGTAATTACAGAGAATTACATACAATAAAATACACAGCAGGTAATGTCTGGTTTCCTTTGTAAGTAAAGGGAATCTAAGATCTGTCCAACACACATTTCCATTTTAGAGCAGTGCAAATCAGTGTAGCAAACATATGTTTCTTTTAATTCCCAACAATCTCAAGGCCAGAGATTGTGTCTCTTCGTGGTTTAGTGACTCCTTCAAAAATTCCACCAGTTGTAACTGACCTGTGATATTCCTAACATTTTCTTTTCAATGCTAATTTTATTTTGGCATAAGTGCAGCATTTTCAGTAGCAGTTTTGGGAATGTAACAGATTACACAGAAAATGCACTTTCAACTAATTATGGAGAGATTATAAATTATGCAAAAGTAAAAAATGAAGGCATTCAAGAAGGAACGGGGAAGTGTATTTAACAGATTCTTAATTCATTTTTCATCTGTATTTCAAGAAAACACTAGAAGTGAAATACACAGTGACAGGAATTTCTGAAGAACTTAATTTTCCCCTTGTTTTCACAGTGAAAACAGACTTACTGTATTACCCTATTAATCTCCATATGACAAATTCACACCTGATAATGCTTTTCCTTTTCTTGTCAGCAGAAAAGAAAAGCTACAAAGGTAAAACAGCAGACCCTCAACCTGAAGTCTGCTGTGTGTGAATCAGGAATGTTTCCAAGTTGTAGTCAAGTTTCTTCTTCAGCATTACACACATTTTTGTGGAACTTCTACTGTACAATATGCTTTGAAGAGTCACAGTCCTATTTGGTACCACTAACCTCCCTTATAAATATGGTACCATGTATGATTTTGAATGGTTTTAGCAAGCCATCTCCCAGCAGAACTAAGGCTGTCGCAGCAGCAGCAGTGATGAGCTGAGTCCCTGTGAGCACACAGCAACTGTGCTCAGCTGTCAGATTATCCTGGCAGCTCAGAATCCCTGTCAGGGGATGATGAGGCATCTATGCAAGAGTCCAGCTGGGATCACAGGGACACAAAGTGCAGAACTGGGGAGGGCCTCTTGAGTCACTAACACATTCTAGCTTCAAAACAAAAAGGAGAGAGAGATGAAGGAATGGCAGCAGAAATTTAACAAGATAAATATCAGAAGCAGTCAGATTTCCTATTTCTTTCAATTCCCTGGTGAACTAGTGAGCCTTCCTTTAATGTAGGTTCACACATGGCCCACTTCTTCCCCTGCTTCTGTGATAACATCACCGTGTTCCCAAATAGGAGCCTTTCTTCTGGTGTTTCTTCTCCAGATATATGTATTTATCAGGAGTAATCCACTGTCCTCTGGAGACCCATGTGTTTCCCAGGCCATCCTAACAAACACTCCCAGAGCCCCATCATGTTCAAGTTCATTCCTTCTGGCTGCGCAACCAAATCCAAGGCAATGTTTCCAGTCTTCTACTTGCACCCTTCAGGGACATTCCCATTTCCCTGCTCCTGCTGGGAGCTCCTCCAGAGGCACATTCACAGCCCCACTTACCTCTTCATATCTCTCTGATATTTCTGGCTTCTGCAAGACTCTCCACTTGCCCTGATTTGTTCTCACAATTGTTTCAAGGTTTGAATTTTATTCTGGTCAGAATTAGGTCCTAGAGATGGCCTACATCTTAAGCACACCAGATATTGTATCTGCCACCCTATAATCACACAGTATTTTACCAAAGGCTTTAACTACAGATTACAGCTATTAGTCTCAAATTTCTCCTGACTTACATAGTAGTTACTAATCACTACACCGAAGCTCATCCTACCACCTATGTTCTAACGCTTTATCCAAGGGCCCAGCCAACAAAGCCCACCACGCTGCTCTCTAGGAGTGCCCGCACCATAGACAGGTGTTGCACTGCTAAGGCAAAGCCACACTAGATGAGCCCATAGGATTGGCAAGTGCTGCTTGATGCAGCAGGAGGACGATATCCGAGTGTAATGCAGAGTGTATCAAACACCTGGAGTGATAAGCTTGCTGTCAGAAAGGCACAGAAACACAAGGTTTTCCCACTGCAAATCCCAAGGTCATTCAGCTCATCCTCAATCAAGACAATAGATTAATGCCTGTATGCCAAGCTCCATGCTCATCTACCTGTCAGAACACCACAGTAAGCTCACAGGGAACCACTTGTTCATTGAGTGGACCTGGTTATGACTCCTACTGCACAAGGAAGAAGGCCCAAGCAGTGACACTGCTTCAAAGATGGGGCACCGTCCTCAAGAACAGCCTGAAATCAGACCCAAGCTCCATTCCACTTTCTCTTGCTAACAGACATCCTAAGAATTTCAACTGCCACAGAAAAATCACAAACCTAGAGAGAAAATGGAGAGTATACTTAATGTGATTAGCACACTCTAAAAACTCTTTATCAGTAGACTATGGAAACTTAGTTTGACCAAGGCACCACAAGCAGTATGTAAAATGAACTTTTTGAGGAAAACAGCTGAAACTAACATAACAACTGAGCAGTAATCGCTCTTGCTATAAAGCATTTTTAAATAAAAGCAGTCTTTTCAATACAAAGGGACTTCACCTTCTGCATAATAAGGACTGCAATCACATTACAGATGGAATTTATAATGGAGGCTTAACTATGTGTTTTTTACACTGGCATATGAAATTTCTATGTGACATTTTTGATACATTTCAGTCTCAAATTTTATAAGAAACCATCAGTCTTGTTGCCCTCAAATTTCATTCCCGTATCTTTTTGTTTTAGCTTTAAAATACTACTCACTATTTTAGAAATAAAACTGAATTTCAAAGTCACTGTTTTCATTATTTTATGCAGATACACACAATTTACCTTTTGATAATCGCCCTGTGTATTTCCAAACTTCTGCTGTGCTAGTTTTCTGATGAGATCTGAAAATAAGCAAGAACATTGCAGAGTTTTAAACAAAATACATTATAAAAATGGAGGAAAGAGGATGGTATGAATTCTACTCTTAGGCAGGCAATATGCAATTAAGAATAGACATCTGCAGGATCAGCAAGCACATAAGACTTTACATAAACCTGTCTAGTACCAACATTTTTAATTGACTGTGTATTTTATGAGATCACAGGAAGATAAGCAGGGTATACATCAATTAAACCCCACCGAAATGCAGTGAAGATTTTTCTAAGGTCACCTTTCTGTAGCTTAGCAACATTATTAAAAGTTAAGCACAAACTTATCAATTACTTGGACAAAGTTCTGAGTGTCAGCTTTGCTTAATTTCTAAGATAAGCACATACATAGATACATATAAATACATACCCAAAATTACATAGATAATGTGCAAAACAAGCATGTTAATGACTTCTTGATTGGATAATAGAAGGAAGAAGACCCTTATCTTGCCCACTTTATTCCAGTTTCTATTCTTTCCTGGTTTTGGGACCAACAGACCTTACACAAGGGTATGCAACACAGCCAGAACAAATCCACATGGTACTGCACGTGCAACTCCATTTCACTCACTTCTACAAGATATCACCCAAAAAATGAAGTAGGAGTTTAACATCAACACCACTCAACATCAGAAATGCAACTATGCCACACTTATTTGCTGCAGTAAACCCCAGCAGCAGAAGGAATGGATCTCCTTTTGCAGACATTAGCAGCCTGCCCTCACAAATGTGTTACTATCCCTATGGGAACCATGCTGGAACCTAAGGCTGCTGGCCACTAGAGTGATGCCCTGCACCTGCAAGCTCTAGCTCTGCTCCCTGCCAGGCTGCACAAAAGAAGCCCTGCTCAGATGTCCAGGAAAAATGACGGACTGAGCTTCTGGTCTCTGAGGAAAAGGAAACACATTAGGAAGGAACACCCTGATCCCATGCTCATCCAGCACAAGGCTCAGTGTGCTCAAGGGCGCTGTGATCTCACTCTGCTCTAATTCTGCACAAGTTTATGAAAACAAATCCCCAAGCAGGCAGCTCCCCCCATCCTTGTCACCAGCACCCAACTGATCTGCAAGTTCAAGAGATCCTGAGAAGTCCCTCACAAAAATCAAACGCAACTGCAGAGCAACAACTGCTGTTTTCAATGTGCCAAGGAAGGTTTTCCCTGCAAGGAAAATGTAGCCACCAAGACTGCAAATTAAAAAATTAAAGTAAAAATCTGTTAATGTTAACATATCAGAGGAGTGTCAAGCAGTAAATCATTCACAGACAGGAAGTGTATTTTAAAATGCAGGAAGCGTGCTAGCAGTTGATGATAAAGGAATTCATACAACTCCCTTTTTGAAACACTACACAGAAGCTAGAAGATAAGGCTGAATCCCACAGTAACAGAGGTAAAACAAAAATATCAGTAAAATAAGCACCTAGGTGAAAGAAAGGAGCTACAATCCTAATAAACATGTTCAAGCATTGCTTGGCAGGGGCCAACCAATCTGTGCCAAGACGCTCACAGCATCCCCAGTGACCCCCTGAAAATTCCTCAGGGAGCTTCAGTAGCAAGAAGTGCACAGCCAAGTGGGGCAGCACTGCACAAAGCCCAAAATGTAATGCACACTAGCTGTGTCAGACAATATTTTCTTCACCAGCAAATGCAAAACGTCTTTCCTCTTGTTTAAATCTATATCCCTCCCAAAGAGGTAATTTTAAGAAAGATTTGGTGCATGAAGCATCCAAAGCAATGAATTTTCTCTTGATCTCACAAGCAGAAGGGCTACAGTAATCTTTTCATTTACGTATTTATTTACCCATTTAGCACTGTGTAACAATACGCTGCAGAATAGCCACTGAAGATGGGTGTTAAGGTCCCTTTCAGCCTAAGCCATTCTATGACCTCTGGAAATCTTCCAGTCAAACCCCTGGCTCAGACCATGGGTAGCTACACCATGGTTCTCAGGGCGCAGTCCTGAACTTCATCATCTCTAAGCAGAATATCTAATATTAAAGAATAAAATAAAAAAATCCCAAACTCCCCTGACTGCCTGTGATACACCTAAATTGCTCAGAACGTTTCTGATTCACAGTTGTTATTTACATCCTTTCCATAATTTATATCCTGCAGGTCAAAAGCAGTACCTGAATACACTATAACAAACTGGTACAGAAAACAAGATATTTGGTGTTTAGTTTCATCAGAATCTAAAGCCCCTTTAAGTTTATAGTAAACAAGAAACACCTGAAAATAAGTACAAAAAAGTTCCCATATGAATTGTATAAATTAGATACTAAATAGTAAGAGAAATATGGGTTTTATGCCATACACAGTACAATGACTGCTATTACATAGCCTGCTTTTTTCCTTAATTTTCAGAATGGGAGTTTTCCCTGCTGAATAAGGATTTATTACTTATATTACTTGGTAAAGATTTTTTTAGAAGCTTCAGCATGTTCTTCTCAACAGGCAATGCACAGTGATTGATCATTCTTTGCAATGAATTTACTATTTCAATAACCTTCAATATCAAGTGTTAGATATTTTATAAGTTAATTCATTTGGAGAAAAGGAGTCTCAGGGGAGAACTTATTGCCCTCTACAACAACCTGGAAGGAGGTTGTGGTGAGGTGGGAGTCGGCCTTTTCTCCCAGGTAACAATGATAGGATGAGAGGTAATGGCCTTAAATTGCACCAGGGGAGGTTCAGGTTAGGTATTGGGAAAAAACTCTTCACAGAAAGAGTGATGAGGTATTGGCACAGGCTGCCCAGGGAGGTGATGGAGTCACTGTCCCTGGAGGCGTTCAAGAAATGTGTAGGTGTGGCACTGAGGGACACTGGGGTTGTGGTTGCACTAGATGATCTTAGTGGTCTTTTCCAGACTTAATGATTCTGTGACTTTCAAATGATACGTGGAAGCTATATATATTCCCATAAGAAGTAATATTGGCCAAATCCAAATGTAAAATTACCTTCAGTTACTCGCCCACACATCAGTAGGCACAAACATGCCTCAGTGGTTTTGCAGGAACTCAAGTTTTATGCACATCACTAGTAATCATGTTTAATACAACAGCACTCAGAGGTTAAATGGGAGAGCATCCAGTGCTCCCATGTATACTGTGTTTTCACACACACTGCTCATTACTGCACAGTAAAGAAACGCCTCAGTCTACATTTAATTCCTAATCCCTGTGATTTAGATTTGCTTTTATGAAGAGCCATTCTTTCCCAGCTAGGACATCTCAAGTCTAGTACTGAAATGCATTTTTATTTTAAACTGAACTGACAACTCCACCTGATACTATTCTGCATGATGTGTACAGTACCTCAGAGCCAATCAGATAATTTTCGAGTCTGGTTCCCACCTTGAACACAGAAGTGCTAGGCAGGTGCGGAAAGGAGTGGTGCCCTCTATTTTCAAATTAAGTAGATTACTTTTGAAATCTTGGCTTGACCAGCTGCACACATTGGTTCACAGGACCAGTAATCCAAGGCTTTAGCACAGAACACGTTTCCTCACTGGGGTTAAAGAGATTTACCTTGTGAGGCTCGTTTACATAGCTCATTACATTATTGCTCTGCACCGTCCCCTTCCTGCTCTCATCACTCATGCAACATGCCATCTGCCCTGGCAAATCTAACTAGCCAAATGAACTGTTCATTTACCAGTGCAATTTGTGATGAAATATTAAGCACCTCTGAGAAGCTCCACTCAATGAAACAATCACCATCTTCTGCATAATTTGAGCGTCATGCACATCCAGCCAATAACACCGTACTGTTCAGACAAGAAAGTAAGGTTATAACTAGGCTTTCCTCTTGGAATTACTCTACAGAAAGGGAGAGAAAAAATCATGCAGATTTAAAAATAAACAGTCTGGCTGTAAATCCCAACATAAATTTGTTATAAATGCTTCTTCCATGAAAGCTTTTCAAATCTAGGTGACAGGAAAACAGTTGGAATAAAACCTTTGGGAATGCTATGCTTGATGTTCGCTCAAACAATTCCGTTGAGCCAGTTCAGTTATAGTGCAATTCCAGCACTAATCAAATTATGCCAAAAATTCATTTATCCTTTTATGCATAATGTAACATACTAAGTTACTGTTCTGAAAAAAACTTCACGCCAACCAATAAGTACCATGACTGAAGCATTCAACTTGCACTGAATGGGGATCTTCAGAACAAACGCAGAGAATTATATTGATAATATACATGACAATAAGTGCTTTCACACCATCTCATATCACAGAATTTCCCCCCTTTCCCCTTCCTCTATAACAGACAGTGTCAATGGACTATGTATACACTGCTCAGTTCAGTGTTTTTCTGAATATGGATCAGTTTGACCCCATTTAGTGTCATAAATAAACAGCAACAATTAGTGTAAAGAATTAAAATAGCTTCAAGATTGTTTTCTTCCTCTCTAATTATGACTCAGACTATAAACTAACTCTTGCAAGTCCAAGAAAACCATAAAATGTTTCAGATTTATTAGCAGAGAAAAAAAATCTTTTGGGTGCTCTATAGCAAGTTCAGTTTATTGGCATTTTAGAATACTTGCTTTGACCTGAGTGGAACTTTGATTGCTTCCTCAAAGTTAGAAAGCCTTTTGCCTTTGACTTTAGTTATCGTCAGATTCAGCTTCCTTTGAAGAAGTCTCCTCCAGTACGTAACCTAGGGTGCTTCCCTTTACTGCTGTTTAACTACCTTGTGGATCCACACACTTGCTCTATCCCTAATCCCAGGTCTACTCTGCACTGCAGGAGCCTCACCTCAAGCACTAAGTGCAGTTTTGCGTACCACAAGAAGGGAAGACCTACAGAGTGCTCAGTGTAGGGCTACGAAAATGAGGAAGGGTCTAGAGGGCAGGATGCATCAGAAGCATGTGAAGTCCCTTGATCCGTTCAGCCCAGAACAGAAGAGACTAAGGGGAGCAACACTCACATTCCCTCAGTTCTAAAGCCCTCATACAAGACAACCT